AAAATTATTATTAATTAACTTATACAATTACGTCTTAGGGTTATGTACGATTAACAAATAAATGCCGAATTACTTTTCTTTGACCTATCGGAAATTTCATCAGAACTTTCATCATCAAAGCTGTCATCAGAATTTTCAATATCTGTAAAAAGTATTGTAATAATTATAAAATAAACAAAAACCAGTTTTATATTTTATCTAGGTATAACAGTATCTAAAACTGTATTTAAACTAAATATTAGGACCTAATAAAAAATCAATAATCATTAAGTCACGCAATTAAGACTTAGGACTATTAGGATCTAATAAATAAATGCGAAGTTATAATCACTTTTTTCTTCAATTTCAGGAACAGGGATACCTGTAACAATAATATTAAATAATTTTACAGTAAATAAAAACCATTAATATATTTTATCTATAATATTATCTAAAACTGAGTTTATTTAGACTAATTACTAAACATTTTAATAATTATATTTCGAATAACCATCAAAACATTTGGCAAAAAACATATTACTAAAAGACTGAACTCAAATTGTTTATTTTGAAATTATGATATTTACCTAAGACCATGGTTATTGTTCTTTGCAATTCAGTTTGGTAACACATGCATACTAAAATTGAAAAAAAAAGTTATTAATTCAATGTACATAATGACATCTTTTCATTGAAGTACATCATAAATCTCAATTTATAAAAATTATGCATCTATGACTTAATATAAATTAATATGAGTTACTACTCCTGAGTCCTTTTTTAACGAGTGCCACCTCTGAAAACGAGAACATTATACTTTTTATGTAATAAAAATATATTCAAATACGTCCATACATTTGAGAAATATGATTACCTGGTGCAGCAAACATTATAGCCATTTTCCCTGAAATTGACATAATATAAAGGGATTAGTTAATGATATTGGCTGTAGTTTTTTATTGTAGACAATGGTATCATCATCAATTCGGAAGGAATGTAGGTATGGCTCTATTACATAACATAGAGTGAAACTCTGAACAAAACCTCTGAAGTGAAGCAAGTGCCATACTTCCTTAGAAGATAATAAAATGATAAGATATTATGCGTTGTCACTTAAGATAAGATAAATTTAGATTGATAAATTTAGATTGTATTTCACTATCAACTCATACTGTTTTCTAAGCTAAAATTGTTTTTTTTTATCATACAGAGTGATAATTTAATTGGGAACCACTCAATACCTCATAGGGCTTAATAAAAAATTGTAATGATTTTTCTCATGGTGGGATCTCAATTTTTACCAATTTTTTTTTTTGTTATATCGAAATGCACGCAGATGACAAACCCTACTATACTCCACCTTTTCACCTGCCTTAAACTCGAAACTTCAATAACTCCAAAAATAGTTATATGTATGCGTTGTAAGTTTCAAAAGTTGACAAAAAAATAATTAGTTTGAAATGGAAATAGTAACATACAAATTTGTGAAAAATTAAGATCACATTACATCAAAACACTTAAAAATCAATTATTAATTAAGCCCATTGAGATATTGAGTATTCACGATAAAATGACCATCTTGTATAGTATTATTATAATTACCCATCAATGTTTTTTCACGAATAAATTTTCTGATTACCTCATGCAATCTCTCTAGAATAAACAAATAATTGGTTGAGCTATAAAGTCGGTTATAATAATAAGTATTTTATTGAAACATTTTTACACTTATTAGGCTCAGTAGTCACCGTCTATAGGTAAGTGTGCTCTAAGTATGTGCCAGTATATTATTTTAAAACTCATACCTCCTGCTTGCTCGAGTTGTTTGTCTAAACCAAATATATTAAAATAAGTTTTTGCCAATATTTAAACTTAAAGTTAAATTTATATGATAACAAAAACCACTGACTTGTTTTGGCCATCTGAATCTTATAGTCCGCTGTAAAAAAAGTTAATTATTGTATTTTTTTTTTAAATTTTTAATTCCCTCGAGTAGGTGAATGTAAACATAAAAAACATAATAATTACTTATGTCAACTGCTAAAACAGTAACAACGGCGAATGTTATTAAAAAACAAAAATGTTTCATTTTTATCTGCAGGCTGATAAAAGTCTGTAAATAAGAACTCGTACTAGAGAGATACTTTCCTAGATAAAAAGGTCTAAATTAAAAAAAAATCACACCTTGTTACTGAATATAGAAAAAATATCATAATAATTAAAAGTTGTACGAATAAACATTGAGTCTAAGAATTGAAATCTTAATTATTTTGTTGATTTTATTACTGTAACAACGGTAATGGATTATTTTAGATTTTTGTCGCATTTGAAACGTATTTGAACCTGGTGGAACCCTAAGCAATACTGCATCTAATGAATATTTCTTACAAATTTTTAACAATTTTGACTATATTTATAAAATAAAAAAATGATAATTGCAGAGGCTAATCAAATTAAAAACATTTAAATTATATATTTTGTGAACTTATATAAAAAAAAAAATTTGTATTTGCTTTTGTCACAAAGGTGTATATCCCATTTCATCCTAATCTTAAACATGGTTATTTTTATAAAATATATATTTCATTAAAATATAAAACTCAATAAAGCCTTTAAAGTATTGATCTTAAAATTTTAAATAGAAAAACAAAATCAAATTATGGCAATAATTAAAATATGTGATGTAAACATTTTTTTTTCAACTACTATTAGCTACTCAAATATTTATTTCAAAGTTTAGTTATAATGTGAAGTGTATTAGAAAAATTGATTATAATTTATAAATAATGTAGATAATGGCCTATTTTTAGAAACATAATTTGTTGTCATTGTTTTTAGTTTATCCAAAAAAAATACACGGTAACTTCGAACGTAAGTATTTGAAAATATGAGTTAATAATAAATTATAAAAATTAGTATTCGATACTAACAAAAAAAATTACAGTGGAGGTTCTTTTAATACTTTTATCAAAAAAATTAAAAGATGCAACATTTTTAAAAGATTAAAAATAAATAAACAATAAAAACAAAATGTAATTCAAGCCCTGCATTTTAGGTTCCATTTCTAATCAATAGACACGCTACACGAATTAAACGGTAACACATTCTGTACTATATTAGCAATGAAATTAACCAAGCGGTAAAGAGTTTATCTCAAATCTAAACACGAAATTAAAAAATATAGACAGTTAGAAAAATATAATAAAATGTATTAAAAAACTTACTAGTAATCTTTGAAATTATGCTAGAACTCTTGCGAACTTCTATGTTAAAACAACAGTTTTGGATTCCACTTGTTGGCCACTTGTTAACCAAAACAGTTAAATCTGAACAAGTTATTCAGTATGCAAATATATTTTATTACGTTTACTTGTTTGTACAAATGTGCAGCAAAGTTGAAACTCTGGTTTTTGTAGCTATTTGTTTTACAATTGTTCATAAACAACGATGGGCATTATACAGTACATATTACTTTTGACTATAAACAAAATACAAGATACGGGTATCCCTGATATTGCAAGAATTATAGCATATAACTATTTTGTACATAAAATAATAAAACACAATTTTTCATAGGACGGAGGCCTCAAAAAAATCTAAAGATTTAATAAAAAAAAAATATATAGAATTATAATGTTTACGTATGATGTGAGAATTATAATAAAACCATGTTTTAAGGATTAACTTAAAAAGTGTATTAAAGTGACTGTTGTAAAAATATTTTGGTTTAAAAAAAAAAACTATAGTTATTATATTAGTTAAACCTTATAAAAAGGCATAACAGATTTGGCAAAGTTGTTTTAATTTGTCACAGTATAACATATTGACATTTATTAAGAATAATGGATCCAAATCTTCACAGATACCTTCTGTAAACTATAAATAATATATATTAACTCTTTCCCTTAGAAGGAATTTACAATTTCTTCTTATTTCACTTTTTCAAGCAAACTGTTAGGGTTTATTGTCTGAAAAATTGGCAACAAGTATGTCTAGAACGGCCCTATAACATGTCCTAAAATATGTAGTTTTTTACTTAGTTAAGAAAAACCTCCAGTTTTTGTTAAAAGAATTATTATCGATATTAGTATACACAACTTTTCTTAAGTACAGAGGCCTCTTAGAAATCGAAAGGTGTAGTTAATAAGTAGAAAAATACTGTGCACACGATTTGTGGAATTTATTATAAAACATATTTTTATGTTTAGCGCAAAATAATATTATGGTTACTCATATAGAAAATTTTCGGGTTTAAAAAACAACAAATATTATAATGTAGAAATAATTCTACTTAACAACGAAAATTTTGAATGTATGTGTATCCGGGTATACATGGTTAACTATATTGGACTATAAAAGCACCACTCGCCGAATAATATTACAATTTTAGTTGGTCAAGTGAATTTTATTTATTTTGGCAAATAGCGGTAAAAATTATTACAAATCAAAATTGATTGTTCCAACGCCTTATTGATATATATGTACTTAAATATGTTAAAAATTCACATTTGATCAGACTGGAGTTCTATTCAATAGCTTAGAAAAGTTAAACATTTTAAGGTTTTTGTAAATTAGTCGAAGAGTATTGCAAACGTTGAATAAAGTTTTGATCGAATATGACTTATGACACAATTTTTTATAGGTACAGAAGTCCCTTAAAAATCTAAAGGTGTTGTTCTAATTATAAAAAAATATATTTTGTATGCTAACTACAAAATATATTAAGGTTACTCATGTATACAATTTTCGGTTTGAAAAAAAAAACATCAAAAGCTATAATGCTTAAACATTTTATAAACTCTGAATAGGGAAAATAGGAAACTAGTATAAGCTATGAAGATTTGTGTTCAAGACATAGGACTTAAATGGATTATATTAAGCCAAAAAATGGAACGAATAAAAGAAACTAAGAAACTATTTTTAAAAAACATTTTCTCACAGAATCAAATTTGTACAATCAGATAAAGTCAACAAATGAGTAAGCGAAACTGTTTATTACAAGATACATTAAATTTGACAATTTGGATATAAGTGCGATTTGGAAACAATTATTTAAATTAAATAAAAACAGTACTGTATAATTTGTGATAATTTAACTCTAAGATTCCTGGTCAAAATCATATTAACAGAGATGCAAGTGAATACTTATCACTATATTAATGATGATTATTTTCTATAAGTTAATCAAACAAAAAAATTTTTGAAAGACGTGCCAGGCACTGGTTTAGCTTCGATTTTTTTACTTTTGTCTATACTTTTGAATAGACACTCGCTGTCACCGCGATTTTTAGCTCGTATTATATATGCCTCCGGTTGTACTATACTTGTGAGCAATCCTAGTAACCGACATTTCGGCTTAATATCTGTGAAATCTGGATCGATGTCCTCCTCTAAAAAAATAAAAAAACTTTGTTCTAACATTTTCCAAACTTAGCTTTGTTATTAAAAATAAAACATGGCACATGGAAAATGAAGTTTCGCCTTGTTGAATATAACTTTGTAGTAGATTGTATGTGTTTTATTTTAAGAAAAACATATGAAAATGGTAGATAAATGTTATATATTTACAATTGACCACTTTATAGTCATCTTGTATTAAGTTGTTTGATATAAAATAGGTTATTTTCTTGGTATATCGTTGTAAATAAATGTAAGTGGTGGATAAATGTATTATATATTTACAATTGACCAATTTAGTCATCACTTATTAGGATAATTGATATGAAATAGGTTATATTGTTGTAGATTAATACCTCATATAGTTCTTGTGAAAAAAGAGGTGTTGAAATGTGTTGTTAATTGATGATCACAAAAAGTTTATTGGACATATAAGAAAAATCACCAAAATAAACAATTTAAACAACAACCTACAATATTGAATGCACTAGTAAACAACCACTTCCCATAGTCGTCATATTTAGATTATAATACTTAAGTAGTAAAAAAAAAAACCCAAAAATGTGTTATTGTGTGTGTGTGTTAAATTAATAGAAATTAATAAGTGCTTTCAGGCAAGAGTTAAATTCTGAATGATGTTGAGTAATTAAAATTTATTTTTATTTTTGTTCTGCCAGTTAAAGTTCTGAGAACATTTTTAAATTTCATCTGAACCATTTTTCAGAATATGACTATTGTATAAAATAAAAATGAAACTATTACAATTTGATTTAATACTTACGTTCTAAGCTCGTAACCATTTCTTGTGTAACTTTTTCAGTCATTTCTCTTCTCACTTTTCCAAGTTCGAACAATTCACGGTCTTTAAAATCTGTACAAATTAATAAACAACCTTGTTGATGACAAAAATATTATACATAAAAAAAATTGTATTGCTCGTGTTATTAACGGAGTACATGATACATTCAATGAACTGTAATAATGTATTTTTTTTTTCTTCAACTTTTCTTATCATGAACTTGTAGATAGTAATTTGTCTATACTTGAAACTTAAATAGGTTTATGAGAAGCAAAATCATTCAAGGAGTCAAAAGTTATTAACCATACGAGATTTAAGTTGTTATTCGATATAGATATTAAAAATAAACTAACAGACTTGTGAACGTTTATGGATAAAACTAAGTATATGCCTTTTAATACTCACTACTTTTAAGTCCTGAACAAATTTATCTTTTAAATTATAGCCCTATTTGTTCTGTGATTGTTTCACGTATGCCATATGCCGTTTAACATTTGATATTTTTGTTTACAATTAAAAAAAATATTTAGAGTAAGCATATTTGGTATTGCATATCTCGTCACTGATAAATTTGCATAGAGGTAAATCAATTCTGATTTTTTTTATATCAATTCCAATACTGTTTTATACGTTTTTTATTTATATTTTGTATAATTACAATAATTACCTATTGGTTCAAAACCAAAATTTCTCTTTAAATTTTGCAATAAAACATCTATAATAAAAAACAATTATTTTTAAAAAAAATTTCAAATAATACATCAAGCATAAATACAAATAAAATATGCAACTTAATAATCGTCATTATTTAATAATTAATTTGGACACCTTCTTAATATGACTACAACAATTTAGCTGTGAAACGGGATTTGCTACGATAGTGAATATTATAGTGGACTGCGATATCACAAACAGCTGATACATTGAAAATCAATCAGCGATTTCCAATGTTATTTGGTAAACATATTAATGCATAATTTTATCATTCACACCCAATCATACACCTTGTAGTTGACGTTTTGATTAACATTCATACAGAAACCGCATAAAAATAAAAATTGTCAAAAATAATCAATTCAATTACATTAGAAAAGAGCTGCTGATAAAGCTTATGAAAAAGGAAATTAGTTCAAAAATTACCTTATTTTAGTAAAATTTACTTTCTGCTGTATATTATATAAGACTTGTCTTATGGTCAAAACGCTCCTAAAAACCTTTTGAGCAAATTTATCAAGAAACATGAAAAATGTTCAGAGTATATTTGATTGATAATATTTGTATTATTAAAACATAATGAAATATTCATCTATTATTAGCACTTGTATATGCTTTTGTATGAAGTTATGGAAAAACTAAAAGTCTACCGGCAAAAAATTGTCTTATATATTTAAAATTTAGATTATTAATTTAAAGACAATAACCATGTGTAATGTATAATCATTAAGTCACACAATTAAACCTTTGGGTTTTTTGTGATTAACAAATAAATATAATTACTTTGGTCAGGAACAGTGACACCTGTAAATATTAAAAAATGTTCATTAATCAAACCAGTTTTTATATTTTATCAATAATAGTAATGAAAATAGAGTTTATTTAGACTAATTATTAATACCTGTAGATATCGACATAATTTTGACTATTATATTTCAAATTTACAATATCATTTTGAAGTCATTAGCGAAAAAATTAATAACCATAACTCACAAAATTTAAGTCTTAGGACTATGCGCTATTAACAAAAAATGTGTAATTACCTTTGAATTCATCAACAGGAACAACAACGTCTGTAACAAAAAAGTTACATAGTTAGACAATAAACATAAATCTGATTTTATGGTTTATGTAGTATCAGAAAATAAATAAACATCAAGTCATACAATTAAGTTTCAGGGCTATGCACTATTAACAAATAAATGCGTAATTACTTTTCTTTTCATCGTCAGAAATTTCATTATCTGTAAAAAAATGTTTAAAAATTATATAATAAACAAGTGTTTATACTTTTTCTATAACAGTATCTAAAACTGTATTTATTTAGACTAAATATAAGTACCCAATGAAAAATCAATAATCATTAGGTCACGCAATGAAGACTTAGGACTATTAGAATCAATAAATAAATGCGAAGTATTAATTACTTTTTTCTTCATTTTCAGGAACAGGGATACCTGAAACAAAAACAATTAAATAGTCTTAACAATTAATATATTTTATCTGTAACAATATTTAAAACTGAGTTTATTTAGACTAATTATTAAACGTTTTAATAACATAATTTCGACTATTATATTTCAAATTTAGCATATTATTTTGAAGTCAATAGCAAACAAATGAATAACCATTAACTCACAAAATTAAGTCTTAGGGCTATGCACTATTAACAAAAAATGTGTAATTACCTTTGTTTTCACCATCAGGAACAACAATATCTGTAACAAAAAAGTTACATAATTAGACAATAAACATAAATCCTTTTTTATGGTTTATGTTGTATCAGAAAATAAATAATCATCTAGTCATACAATAAAGTCTTAGGGCTACGCCCTATTAAAAAATAAATGCGTATTTACTTTTCTTTTCGTCATCAACAAATTCATCACCAGAACTTTCATTACCAGAAGTTTCTTCACCATAATATTCCTCTTCAGAACTTACATCAGTAATTTCAACATCTGTAAAAAAATTGTAATAATTATATAACAAACAAAAACGTTTTTATTATTTTTTATATAACATTATCTATAACAAGTTTATTTTGACTAATTTAGTCTCAAAGCTATGCACGATAAACAAATAAATGTGTAATTACATTTGTTTGGATAATCAGGATTATGAATATCTGTAAAAAAAAATTATATAATAAACAAAAACCAGTTTTAAGATATTATTATCTACAACAATTAACAGTATTTAAAATTGAGTTTATTTAGACTAAATTTTAGGACCTAATAAAAAATTATTAATCATTAAGTCACGCTACAAGGCGTTAGGACTATTTAGGATTAATAAATAAATGCTAGGTGTAATTACATTTTTCTACATATTCTGGAGCCTTGATTTCTGTAACAAAAATAAATTAAATAATTTTACTGTGAATAAAAACCCTTTATATATTTTATCTATAACAATATCTAAAACTGAGTTTATTTAGACTAATTATTAAACATTAAAATAGTTATATTTCGAATAACCATCAAAAAGTTTAGTCAGAAATATATAACTAAAACACTTAGAACTTAGAATTGAATTTCCATTGTTTTTGGTTTAATACAAATAATTATTATTATTGAAATTTTTATTAACAAATTATGATACTTACTTAATTCCTTGTATATTTTTTGTTGCAAACTATTTTCGTAATGAATGCATTCTAAAAAATGTTTTTTAAAAAAATAGTCATTCGTTAAATAAATTTTGCAAATATGACTTTATATAAAATATATATTATAGGGTGAAGGAAGGTATTTTCGTGGCATAAGCAATTTCGTGATATAGTTTGTTTGATCGTATCGCGTAATTCCCTAGTAGAAAATTGTCTTGAAAATCACACTGATTGTTAAAATAACTGTTATTACACATTCATTTTAATGTACATCGTTTCTTAAGATAGCAATACATATGGAAGTACATCATAAATCTCAATTTATAATAAAAATTATGCATCTATGACTTAATATAAAATAATATGATTTATTACTCCTGAGTCCTCTTCTAGCGACTGCAAACTCTGAAAACAACATTTTTTACTTAATATGTGCAAATACGTTCATACATTTGGAAACATTATTACCTGGTGCAGCTAACATTATAGCTATTTCCTCTAAAATAGACATAAAATAAATGGATTAGTTAATGATATTATTTAGCTATGATATATCACTGATAAATTTAGGTAGAGGTATGTAAATCAATGTTAAAATTTGTACGGAATGTATGCGTCATTATTTAAGCTTGAAAAGTTGATTAAAAAAACAATTTGTTTGAAAGAGGAGTATTGAGGAACATTCAAATTTGTGAAAACTTAAGATCACATTACATAAAAAAAAAACTAATGACAAAAAATGTAGTTATTAATAATTATAATTACCCATTGAATATCTTCCGCAAACAAATGATTTAATTACCTCATGCAATCTATCTAGAATAAACAAATAACGGGTTGAGTTATAAAGTATGTGATAGCAGTAAGTATATTATTTAAATATTTTTACACTATAGTTAGGTTTAGTAGGCACTGTGTAAGTATTATGTGTCAGTGTATTATTCTAAAGTACATACCTCCTGCTAGCTCGATATGTTTGTCTGAAATAAATAGATTGAAATAAGTTTATGCAAATATTTAAACATAGTGTTAAATTTGTATGATAAAAAACAAAATACTGACTTGTTTGGTCCATCTTATTCTTGTAGTCCGCTGTAAAAAAAATGTAATTATTGTACTTTTTTTTAGATTTTTAATTCCCTCGAGTAGGCAAGTGTAAACATAAAATACATTACAATTACCTATGTTAACTGCTAAAACAGTAACAACGACGAATGAAAATAAAAAACAAAAATGTTTCATCTTTATCTGCAAATAATAATAAACATAAAAGCCTTTATTAGACAAAGTCGTTTTGAACCGATATGTTTGTGTAGCTGACATGGGCAATTAGAAAATTAGAAAAACTTTATAAAATGTATTGAAAACTCACTGGAAATCTTTGAAGTTATGGTAGAACTGTTGTGGACTTCTATGCTGAAACAACAGTTTTAAAATGATTCTCTAGGCGACTCGATAACCGAAACGGTAAAATCTGAACAAGTTTTTCGGTATGCAAATATATTTTAGTACGCTTACTTGTTTGTGCAAATGTGAAACAAAGTTGAAACTATAGCTTTTTCAGCTATTTGTTTTACAGTATTGTTCATAAACTGCGATGGCATGAATACAATACACGGGTATCTTCAAAAATAAACAATACCATATGAAATTTTACGGTTAGCTGTTGTTTATCGAAGACCCATTGTTTTTTAGCATATTTTGTTTTGTTACAAACAACAAAAGGATTATTTTAGATTTTCGCCTTTGCATTTATATCTACGTATATAAAATATTTACACCTTACACAGATTTGGAATTAGAACACAAATGTTCCTATTCAAATGTTGGAATTATTTGCTAACAGTTTGTGTTTGCTATAATATTTGTAACAACATATGGTACTATCGTGCATGCAAAATCAAACGTTCTAAAATACAAATGATATGAAACATGATATGGCCAAAAACCCACTTATTTTTCCTCTAAATAAAAATATAATATAGTTAAAACTATAAAAATTGTATGCGTGATTAAAAATGATCAGAGTCGATACATACATACATAGATAGAATCATTTTCAAATTATAAAACAAGATGCATATCTGTAGATAAATGTATGTAATCATTTTCAAAAATGTGGACGGGGGAAACGTTTGAGAGACCAAAAGTTAAATTAATAAAATTTTAATTTTATAAATAAAGATACAGAATACAAATGTATAATAAGTTATAAGATACAAAATTCCGTATCTTCACATACTTGACACCATATTGTTTATCATCTATTACTGCTGTTATTAACTTTACTTCATTTGGATATGTAACTATGTACTTGGATTTATAGATATAATATATATATATATATATATGTATTTGTTTTTTTTAATTCGAATTCAAATTAATGTCAAGTGTACTTAAACTGTCATTTTATATATAATATAGTGATTGGAAAAAATTGTCCGTAATAAAGATTATTATTATTATTATTATTATAATTGCGACAGTCGATAAACTAATTTATACGGTCTCAATTCTCATTGTAATTGCTATTCTACATTTGGAACAATGAACTCTTAATAGCCTTTTAGGAATATTAGTTGTTGGAATACATCATCGAATAATTTACATCTGGCAGGGCAGTGGCGCAAACCCAGAGAAGCGGGGGAGGATGAGAAGTGTTTTTTTTTTTAATATTTTCTTTTAATTATCCTATTTATTGACTTATTATAATCCGTTTAAGCCCTATATCTCAATCACCGAACTTCATAGCTTATATTAGTTGCTTTTTTTTTACATTGTCAGGTTCACTTGTTTACATTGTTTAGGTAACTAATAAAAGCTCGAATTTATGCTGTTCAATTAGGATAAATCTTGATTTTAAATCAAACCCATTTTTACAAAAAAAAAAACAAATGTCTAATAGTATGTATCAAAAATAAACAATGCTACAATGGCGGGTGGTTGGTGGTCAAATTTCAGAAAAATAATAATTTATAAACATACAACGATATAGTAATCGTATTGACCTTAATACAATTTTAAACACATTATTGACAACGATTTATGTATATACATCTACAGATAGACATCAAAGTGTTCATTTGACAACGATTCTATCAATACATATGAATAACAATCCTAATAATTTTAATCACAAATACAATTTTTTATTAGTTTTACTAATTTTTTTTGTATTGTGGAAAACACATTTTTTTATGGCCATATTTTGTTTACAATTCATTGAGCAGCTATTGAAGTCTATTTTTTATAAAACACCAACTCGTGGTCTAAAAGTTAGATTGAAAGTAGATCAAATGTAGGGCTATAACATACACAATTTTCTGAGAAAACTGTATTGAAAAATTTTTCAAACAAAGGCGTCTTAAAAATCTAAAGGTATAGTAAATAAGTAGAATATTATAATGTGCACATATGTTGTGAGAATCATAATAAAAACATGTTAAGGCTTAACTCAAAAATGTTATAAGGTGACTCATGTACACCCATATTTCTGTTTGAAAAAGGCTATAGATATTATATTGCTTTAACATAATATAGTTGATACTTAGTTTACATAGGTGCATTTCAAAAAAAAAAAATGTGTTGTATTGTGGTGTGTGTAGTACTTGTATACTTTGATATTTAATAAGCGCAAAACTAATATGTTATAATACATAACGGCCATGTGATTACTGCTTAAGCTACAGACTAATATCTTATCAGCTATAGTTGTTGTTGTGACAATGGACAGTGTGCACAGTATGCAAAACATACAGCCTGTTGATAATACATTTTGTACTACTGTTGAAACACCAGAAAAAAAGTGGAACTGAGAAGGTATTCGTTTTAAAAGGTTAAATGAAAATATGCACATTGTTTTGGTTGTTTTTCCTAATATTGAATGTGAACTTTTTAAAAAGTAGGTCAAATGAGGCACATTTTAGGTTCCATTTCTAATCAATAGACATGCTACACGAATAAAACGGTAACAATTTCTGCACTAAATTAGAAATGAAAATAATCAAGCAGTTAAGGGCTTAATCGCAAATCTAAAAATGAAATTAAAAAAACATGGACAATTAGAAAAATATAAAATGTATTGAAAAACTTACTAGTAGTCTTAGAACTTAAGCCAGAACTCTTTTAAACTTCTATCTTAAAACAACAGTTTTAAAGTGATTCGCTTGCGACTTGGTAACCGAACAGTAACATATAAAATTTTCCAGTTAGTTGTTCATCGAAAACTGATTGTTTTTTAACAAAATTTTGTTTCGTTGTTTGTGTTGACTAGAATTAGGGCGTACGTAGGTGACATAAAAGTATTCGTTCAGTATTATTAATGGTTTTTACCAGGGTTCCGTTAACCGTTATTTATTCGTTCAGTTCAAAATTATGTTCATGAACGTTAACTAGGAATAACGTTATAACTTTTTTTACCCCGAGAACGTTATACCGAAAAACGTTTTATATTTTTTTGGTCCGAGAACGTTATAAAATATAAATTGAAAATTTATATCTTTACCTATACGTCATGTATTTGTTCCAAGAACGTCATTATAAATATTGTTGTATAGTTATACACCCTGAGAACATTTAACCGAATTTGCTATAATATCTATGGTACTATCATGCATGCAAATTCAAACGTTCAAAAATACATATAATGAAACAATATATGGCCAAAACACAAAATAAAGTACTCTAAATAAATACTCGTTTTCGATAAATAGCAAACCGTAAGATTTCGTATGATATTGTTTGAAAATTTTGTGTGTAACAACTTGGCGTCTAAAAAAACATCTGCTGTGACCGCATTATAATAATAAGTTCTTTAGCAATTGTAAAAAATTCATTCAGCAGCTATATATGACCTATTTATCATAAAACACCAACTTATGGTCTAAAAGTTTGATTGGAAGTAGATCAAGTGTAGGGCTACTATAAACATGTACAAATTTCTTATTAAATCTGTATTTTAACTGGTGTAATAAATGTATCGGTGGCTTTTTTTTAAACAGGAGTAAGCTAAAGTTTAAAGAATCCAAATGTCTATACACATAAAGTATTGTGTGATTTTGAACAAAAATTTTAAACAAAAATTGCATACAACACAATTTTTCCTAGGACGGAGGCCTCTTAGAAATCTAAAGGTGTAGTGAATAAGTAGAAAAATAACGTGCACACGATTTGTGGAATTTATTATAAAACTTATTTTTATGTGTAACGCAAAAAATAGTATTAACAAAAAATAGTATAGACAAAGTCGTTAATTAATTATGGACTCCTATGTGGAACTGAGAAGGTATTCGTTTTAAAATGTTAACTTTTTCACCACTGAACCGATTTGCTTGTGTAGTTAAAAAAATATATTTGCTTTTTTCACAATAATATATATTGCATAATTATTAAGTTGAAAAGTATGCACATTTTATTGGTTGTTTTTTCTGATACTAAATGTGAACTTTTTAAAAAGTAGGTGAAATGAGGCACATTTTAGGTTAGATTTCTAATTAATAGACATGCTACACGAATAAAACGGTGATCAATTTCTGTACTACATTAGAAATGAAAATAATCAATCGGTTAAGAGCTTATTGCAAATCTAAACACGTAATTAAAAAACATGGAAAATTAGAAAAACTTAATAAAAATGTTTAAAAAAACTCACTAGAAATCTTTCAAGTTATGGTAGAACTCTTGTGAACTTCAGTGTTAAAACAACAGTTTTAAAGTGATTCCACTTGTTGGCCACTTGTTAACCGAAACAGTAAAAACTTTAAACGTTTTTCAGCATGCAAATATATTTTGGTACGCTTACTTGTTTGTACAAATGTGCAGCAAAGTTTAAACTATTGTTTTTGTAGCTGTTTCTTTTACAATTACGATGGGCAACATACAGTACTTATTTTTTTCGACTTTATACAAAATACAAAATACGGGTATCCCTGATCTTCCAAGAATTATAGCAAATAACTATTTTGTACATAAAACAATATAACACAATATTTCGTAGGACCGAGACCTCATAAAAATCTAAAGGTTTGGTAAAAAAAAAATAGAATTATAATGTGCACGTATGTTGTGAGAATTATAATAAAAACATGTTATAAGGATTAACTTAAAAAATGTATTAGAGTGACTGTTGTACAAATATTTTGGTTTGAAAAAAAAACTATGGTTATTACATAATATATTGGTTAAACCTTATAAAAAGGCATAACAAATTTGGAAAAGTTGTTTTAATTTGTCACAATATAACTTATCGACATTTATTAAGAATAATGAATCCAAACCTTCACAGATATCTTTCTTAAAAAATAATATGTATAAACAATACCACATAAAATTTCACGGTTTGTTGCTTATCACAAACTAATTGCTTTTAGCGTATTTTGTTTTGTTGTTTGTGTTGCTATTCCAATGTGGGAATTATTATCTTGCCTAACCGTAGAACCCTGATGTTCCAATAATTATAGCAAATAACCATTTTGTACATAAAGATAGGATATTAGTATTTTTCAGCATGCAAATATATTTCAGTGCGTTTTACTTAAACAAATATTTTGTCACCCAAGTAGGTATGTCATGCATTCTAATCAACATCAATTCTCTACATAATCAAATTATATGTAATATTAAGTAATAGTTATCAATGACATACATTAGAACAATTTAATAGAATAATATTGTATCTTATTGTACAAAATAGTTATTCACTAGTTATTGGAACATCAGGGTTCCACGGTTAGGCAAGAAAACAATAATTCCAACATTTAAATAGGAACACAAAAAACAAACAAAATTAGACGTTTTTTTTTTTTTGCAAAATTGGGCTTGATTTTAAATTGAGATTTATCCTAATTGAACAGCATAAATTTGACCTTTTGTTAATAACTTGAAAAGTATTGCACACATGGAAATAATGCCTGTGACATAATTTTTCTAGGGACAAATGGTCATTGTATCATTTTTGTAAATAACGGTGAAAATTCCAAATCATTGATTTTTTCAAACGCACTATTGATGTAGTATATACTTTGATAAAATGTAAAGCTTATGATAATAATTTAAATATATAATCGTATAATATATATATATATATATATACATAAGTTATAGTTGTTTATTTTTAATAAATAGTATTAAATAGTACTGTAGCTGTTTCTCAATAACAAAAACCCTATTTTAATATTTTATGAGAAATTAAAAGTCATAAATTTATGACTTCCTTTGCAATTATTGATGTATTCAACTAGAAAGAAAAAATATATATAATACAATAATGGTTTCCGAGCTCAAAACTTTTTTTTTTCTGTAATAGTATTTCTCCTTTTCTTTGAAACTAAACAAAATCGGTACTAGTGAAATCCTTTGCGTTCCATAAAGTTTTACTATTTATACGGTAAAATTGAAAATTCAATTTTCCTAAAGAAAACAGTTTTTGTATAACATCATTATGGAGTTTTTTTTTCCGAATATTGCATAAGTTAGTTTGTGCCGTCGTCAGTTGCTGTGAAGAAATAACCAAACCATTAATATGAAATATTGTTAAAGGAGGTTTACAGAGTTTCTCATCAGTAACGTTTTGTTTAATAAAAACGAATAACTCACTTAGATGAAATCTGCTTTGAACCGGAAATGTTACTTAAACTAAATAGAGTAAAAGCTGTAATATTATTATTACATTTCACTGTACTTGACGATGAAGTAATAATTTAAAAAAATGTTTTTAATTGAAAATATTATATTCAACCGTGTTTTCTCATTAAACATATAACACATAAATAGATTCTTATAATTAAACAAACCGTAATAATAATAAATAATAAAATATCCAAACAAATCCATAATAACTCTATTGTAAAAATAGGTATATTACTATAACTTAACCCTAATCGGCTAGGGCGGCTGGTAAGCCTCGGGTTGTGTGCGGTAATAGCTGTCGGTGCAAGTACTTTGTCGTCTGATCATCTCTGTCGTCGTTATCCCTGAGACAAGTATTTCCTTCTGTCTTCGCCATCTTTTTTCGCCCATTCTTCGGTGCCGGCCAACGTGTCGACCAGTGTGCTTATTTCGTTCCACGCAAACTCCACGTCCTTTTGCTCGGTCAGACGGCTGCACACCACAAAACGGATGACCAGCTGCGATCGCACCGAAGCCGTAACCAAGTAGATCTGTCGGCGACTCATCAGGCTGTCGTACAGTTTTTTCGTCCAAACGTTGTCACCCTAATGGGGCCCAGATACAATGTTATAGCAAAAATCCGTTTCCGCTTAGCACGTGTCTTTATAACGAACGGTTTTACCTTTAACCGGAAGCACACGAGTCCCATGGTGACGGGCGTGACCACTTCGAACCTGCGGTCCTGTTCGACCAGTTGACCGAACAATTCCGCCAGCTGCACTTGCTTCTTAATGTGCGCCTGTAGTCCTTCGACGCCGTACAACCTCATGACGAACCACACTTTCAACGCCCTGAACCTTCTGCCCAACGGTATCTGCCAGTGCTACACAACGTGGACAGCAGTGTTAAAAACGCATGCCAACGGCAGTAGTGTCTCAAAAAAAAAAAAAAAAATGGTGGGGTTTCAAACGGCTGTAGGTTGAGAAGTATTGGACCTACAGCCATCTAGTGGAAGTCATTCGAAACTTGACAACTCCCTCTTTCGTCAAAGCCCTACCAGAGCGCCGTAGGTCCAATACTTCACCAACCTACAGCCGTTTGAAACCCCACCATTGTTTTTGAGACATATTTTCTACACTTACTCTGAAATCCGGTATTTGCGGGTCCTCGCTCTGGTAGCTGTGATTCAAATAGACCCTTTCCACGTTGAACGCGTTCACCAGGTGCGTGGCGTTTTTCACCCACAAAGCGGAACAATCGAAATTGACCAAAAGCCATTTGTGCAAGTTCACGTCGAACGAGTCGGCGAATTCGACGCCGGCCATTAAATGCCTGTACTCGGGAAGTATGAATGCGGCACCTAAAAAGTTAAGCGAATGCAAACATTTAAGAAAAAAACCGAGTGGCGAACAATTTCATTGCAGACATCTTGGAGTTATGGCGTCCGACATTTTGTACTCAGTCAAGCCCAAATAATATTGGCAATCATTAATTCCCTCACTAACCGAGGAGATAACATTGACTCTAATTTGTGCGAACGGAAAACATTTTCGTTAATTTAACAAAGACAAATTGGGAGCTCAACTGGGTGACATATCTGCTGTGTCAGAGGACTGAAAATTTATGGGTAGTAATGGTTAGAATTTACTATAATCTCTTGCATTTCACCCACAACTAGAGGAACTTGTGACTGTGCTTGATTGTTTGCTGACACGTTGTTTTTAGAGCCTGAACAAGTTTAGAAGGGTTTGAACAAAATTCCAATCAGTACCTGCGTAGGCTGCGTCGACGTGCAACCAGATATTGTTTTCGTTGCAGATCGGACCCAACTCTTCGAGACAGTCAAAGGCGCAAGTGCCCGTGGTGCCCAAGGTGGCGACCACATAACAAGGGATGAGTCCTTTGGCGCGATCCTCCTCGACGGCTTTCAACAAGACCGGACCGGTCAAACGGCCGTTCTCGTCCGACTTGAGCAATCGCATGGGCATCGATCCGAGCAGACCGGATTTTTCCACGCTCGAATTGGATTGATCTGTCGGACATGATAATATGTTCAATTTTTTTTGCAAAATAAATCACTTGTGCGAAACAGCCATATGACAAGTGTCACATAAAATTTGGGAAACATCCGGTAAAATTACCTGAAGTGTAAGCAATAAGTTTCGCTTTTATTTCTCCGTCTTCCAAAAGGGGATTTATTGTTTTCACGTGTTTAGTCATGCGGTCTTTGGCCGCCAGCAAGCACACGAATGTGGCTTCCGACGCACTGCCCTGGAAAATAACACAACGTAGCCAGTATAATAAAATAATATTTCTCAATGTACCAGTGTACTGTGTATTTAATGCAAAGATAACCTGGCGAAAAGAAGAAATTAACGTATGAAAACATGATTGAGATGATTTTATCAAAAGACAGATCTACAACCACTAAACTATATACATGGTAGGCGCGCAAATTGATCCCACACGGATTCCGCCATCTTGATTCCTGTCATGGAAAAAATGGTGCAACACCATTTATTCCATGATAAAAATCTGATATCAACAATACGGTAAGTGTGATAACAGAACGGAATCAAAATGGTGGCTCACTTTTATTATTCATGAAAAATAAGCATCATACGCCTTTCATGTATATAGATCAGTGTCCACAACTAATTGGCTTTTCTGGATTCAATTTTTTTTTGTTATCCAATTGCACGATGAAATTATTGTTTTAAAAACAGGTATATATTATTTGATTTGCCCTTACAAAAAATGCGTAAAAATACCTGTATAATACCACCGCCGGGTCCTTCGGACTCGTTTAAGAACTCTTTAGGTATCTGCAACATTTTCCCGAACCAATTCATTACTTGCACCTCGAGTTCGGTGCACGCCGGACTGGTAATCTGCGGAAAACAAAATATATTGTACTCAAATAATAAACAAAATTAGTTTAGCCAAATTTTAACGACGGGTCAGACTTTCCGCTGACCGTTGTAAACCAATTGTAATTCAATGGGGAAAAAATCCGGAAAAGCTTACCCAAGAAAACCCTATGCATCCGATGCCGGTGGACAACAAATCCCCAACGATGGCCGGGTACGAATTGGCAGTGGGGAAGAACCCGTGGAATTGCGGCGATTGCCAATGCGTGATGCCGGGCATAATGATTTTTTCAACATCCGCTATCACCGTCTTCCAGTCTTCGCCCTTAACCGGAGCCTCTGCCGGCACCAGGTCGTACAGGTATCCCGGTTTCACTGAAGATAAAACTGGCCTAAAACAATCCAGCAACAGCACGGTCAGCATAATATTATGGGAATAACACTATAGTAGTCATCGGTAAAGGTGGCCACGAAATCCTGCAAAACACACATTCCAACAAGATTCGGACACAAATTGACCTAATCCATCCTAGCCGGGTCAAATGAACATTTAAACATCTTCTTCTTCTTCGCCTTACACTCCCGACTACATGGGGTCGGCCACCCTAGTCCTGCACATCTTTTGCCGTCTTCAAATTACTAAATATTTATCTTTTCAGTATTTTCTCCATTGTTCTAAAAACTCTTGGAACTTAAATGGTAACGCACATAGTGTTTATCAACTTTCTTAATTGAGAATAATTTACTAAAAATGTCGACTGGTCGATAACTGGTATTGAATAAACAGTTTTAAAGTTAATAAAGTTTTATATGATTGTTCTCGATTTAAAAAACAAATTCAATCATATGTTAAGTTTCAAAAGTTGATAAAGCTTTAGAAAATGCTAAAAAAAGATGAAAAACTCGATTATTGTTGTATAAAATATTTTCAAAAATAATAGCTGCACAATTGCAAATATCACCTTAAGAGTAAACTAAAGTATAAGGCGTTAAAATAATTACCCTGTACAATGGATAGCAAACCCAAAACGGCCCCAATATTTGTAATATTTTTTTACCAATTTTGATTTATGCAAGTAATTATTGTCGGTGTAATTATTTACCTGTCACGAACGTTCTCGGTATAGTCGGCTATGTAATCAACGACCGCCTTGGCGAACTCTCGGAACTGTTCGGAATCCATAGCGTTTTCTAATTAGTGCTTCTTCAAGTGGAAAAACCTAAAACAAAGCAATCGGTGTACTCATAAAAACTATTTTATAAAAAAAAAAACCGATTAAAACGCGTTTTCAACGCCTCCGGAGAGGTAATTCTCCCTACTGGTTAAGTACCTATTTACAAAATTGTATTAACAAGCCATCGGGCGTTAGCGAATAATGTGATCGTTATGTTAGGATATTATAATTTGTCGAGTAACACCGTTTTTGGCGCATAAAAAAACACCAGCGCTGTAGTAATAACTACAACAGTACACTAATTAGCGTGAATCCAATTAATAACGACATGTCATCCGAACAATGATTGGCGAGAAATTAGCAAACGGTCGATTTCCACTTAGTAGTCTCGAGAACTTTTGTAGGCGTTATTGTGTGAACTTTGAATCAAACCAAATAGGCGCTTGTCTGATTGATATACTGTAGTTCTGGTAGACAAACAAAACGTTTATCATGTGTCTTATTGTTATATAGTTCCGCTTTTGAAAATCATTTCTGCGTGTACCGCGCCGGTGTTAAGGACGACATCACTGCTGTATAGATAGGTACCTATTCGACGGAGGCCAATATATGGGTAACAACATGTCAAAGGATAACAATAGCCCGGTTTTTTTCTTTTTCAATTAAAACAAGGTCTAACAAATAATATAATCCAATAAAAATAACGGTCGGCACGACGAAGGTGACACAGCGTGCGTAGGTATGCGCCGCACATATATTATTATACACCTTTTGAATTATGATAAATCCAAATGCAATTTTTGTATTACGGTTATACTGTGTGTTTTGTTATTTATGAATTTGTTCAATTGGATTGTTTCGGGGCTGCCGGTGGAAAAAAATATAATATATTTATCTTCCTGAACCACCACCCGGATCTAAGCTGCTGCTCATCCCGTCCAGCCCCACGTGGTATTACAGCTTATGCCTCCCCCCCCCCCATTTCTATATAATCCATTCGACGAACCTTTTTTTTTTTTTTCCCCTTTTGTACTTACACGACAACAATCCGTAATCCCGGATTATGTAGGATTTCGACTTAAAAGTTTACACAGATTTCCTAGAAAAAAAATTATACAAACAAAATAAAAGGAAGAACAACAAATTCGATTGGCCAACAAAAACTTGCTATATTAACATCAAACAGTGCAACTCTTACATTTTGTATGCAATGTAAATTTAAGACCAAACTATAATTTTGCAAAGCTAATCAAAAAACTTTTCATTACCTCAAAACTAAAATACCATTACACGTTTGCCCAAAGGCTATATTATCATGTTGTATACTTAAGACGGCCGATTTGGCGATTGATGGGTCGCACAGGGTCGACGGTGTTAATCAGTACTGTGTCTTCGACGGTCATTACACTCGGCTATTTGTTTGCCTTTTTGAAGAGCGACCTTAACTGTTACAATTTATTAACAACACAAACCCGACCCAGGCCGAGAGCAGGGTGTACAGCTATATTTTTAATTTATTTTTCAAGCTTTACCGCCACCCCAGTGCCAACCTTTTGGAGGTTGTACAGTGAAAAAGTTTGCGAATTAACGAACCCTTTTTAATTTTTTACTAATTATCATAAATAATTTATTCCATCCTAGTTATTAAAATGATTAACTGCAACAGTTGTCTCGTCCTGTATTTCGCAGTGAAAAAATGAACACAGGACGCAAAGAAAGGCCAAAGATCTAGGCTTGTCAAAAAAATTAATATAGATCAGAATAAACTTTTAAAAAACATGTAGACATATTTTTTTTCGTCCACTCTTTCTAATAACTAAGAAAAAAAATTCGTTGACAAGCTTAGGGATTTGAAATAAAATAATATTTCTTATAATTTACATATTTACTGTCAAGAAATTTAATACTGACTTATTTATACTGCAAATCCCGTTAACACTGATTAAATTTGTTTTTCCAAGTGAATTGTTAAACAAAATTTTTTAATTAAGTTATTTTTAGATTACAGAAATTTAATTTAAAAAAAAAAACAAGAAAGGACGACAAGTACCGACAACTTTGGATAATAATAAATATACATTTATGTACCTATTACAGTACATTAGAGTTGGTAATTGATCAACAACACAAAAACAGCTTTGCCTAATATTGAAAACTTTTTGAAAATCATCTCTTGAGATAAATCAAAATAAATATACATTGATAGGTATTAATGTATGAAAACACACAGAATAGCAAACAAAAATAACGCGAAAACCTAACAACTAATTTTGAGAATTTTTAAACTTTTAAAAAACTTTTACCGCCAGAACTGTTCAAAACAGTTTAGGTTAGGTATAATTGTAAAGACAAAAAATGGAACTTACCTTATTCCAATCTGTAGGGTTTTTTTTTTTAGTATCTCAATAGTGTTCCTGCTCCAGTAAACTCCACTACTACACTGAATGCGGTACCAAAAGTCTTGTTACTATAATAACAATGTACTATTATTATTATTATGTCTGCTCTGGTCTTCACATGACATTGTGTGAGCCGTCATCGCTCATCCCTCTCCATTACTTAAGTTTTCGCCTAAGACTATTATTATTATGATGATCATCATTTTTTTTTTTTTTTTTCATTTTCTTTATACCGGTATTGAGCTAGTCGGTTCCGGTATGTTGTTGTCGCGGCTATTGTGAATAGGTTATTTTTTTTACGCGCAATTATTATTAATATTTTTTTTTTTTTTCAAGAAAATACGTTTTTTATTAATCATAATTGTTTTCCCTATAGCCTATAATAACATTATAATATACTACAATGGCCAACAATATTGCTGTTGTGACGTCAACATGACTTTCTTTTTAGGTAAAAAAAAAAAAAAATTAAAAAGTTTGGTTCATCTTGTTTTCAAAAAAACCAAGTTGAAATTCGGAACATTCGCTTGTACGTTTGATTTTATTTGAAATTCGGTGCCAGAAGGATTTTTCAACAACCTGTTTAACTGGCCGGCAACCACCGCGTGATCGTTACTTTTACATATTAAAATGATTTATTTATAGCCACTGTAAATCAATTTTTTTTTTTTACCTATGTTTGAACTCTTTAATAGCCGTGCGATGATCTCAGACCGTAAAATTATAACCGTCGGTCATCCCAATTAATTGATTGTGATTATAAAAATCATAATACCTATCCTACGACATGGTTCTTGTTAATTGCATGAAACATCTACGTTGTAATTTTTTCTACTGTCTTTTTTTTTCAGACAACATACTTGCAGACGAGTTAATTTGTTTATTCCGCTAATTTAATATGTAAATAATGTGTTTTACTTTCCCCGGAGAATAAAGGAAATTAAATAACTGTACCTGTACACGGTGACCGCAGTTTAACGTGAGACACACATTTTCTCTTAAGATAATTGCAATTTTGAATTTTTTTAAATTTTAAGCCTTAAGTTGTAACGGTCCTATTCGTTTAATTAACTTTTTAGATTAAGGACAATCTGCTGAAAACGCCGAATGGTCCAGTTTTGGATAATTACACTTTTAATGCGGTAGACATCAAAATAATACAACACTCCAATCTTCGTCCTTTTCTAAATTTTATACTTTAGTAACTTTAAATGTAATAACACAAAGCTGGTTATAGACCAGTCAAAAGTTATCATTTGTCTTTCAAAAGTTGATAAGAGCTTTGGAAAATATTGAAAATATTTAGTAATTTTATGACATTTTGTAAACAACATAAATACAAATTTTTTTCAAAAAGAAAACCTACTAAAATGCAAAATGAGGTTTTTACGTTAAATTGATCAGCCTAAACTACTCGGATTGTGTGTATTTATAACGCAGCAGTTCCATGCATTATCTACAATGCCACAAACAGACCTCTTAAAATAACAAAAACTTGATTTAATTCTAAAATTCTTAAAAAAAAAAAAAATTATAAGCTTAAAAAACTCATTAAAAAAATATCAATTATGTGGATCTAGCAGTCACAATTTCAATAGAATATTACAATTTTTCTAGGAACGCTTCTAACCCCCTAAAAAGCCTCAAATGGGTTTGTGGGGGTTGGAAAAAATTGGGATTTAAGAGCTAATAAAGACTGAAGTCAGGTCCATTCTGATCGACTAATACTAAACGTTTTCACCCTAATACTGAAAATACAGTTTTAAGTACCTTGTTGGCAGTGATTATAAATCAATTTAATGGAAATATAATATATAAATTAATAAATCGTTGTATTAGTAAAAATTTTAATATATAATTATTATCAATTGAAATCAGCTTTTTGCATAAGTCTAAGTCCTTTTTTTAAACCTATAAAGCATTTTTTTTAATGACAAGTAAAAGCTATGCAATCAAGTAAAACATGTTTCAAATAAATAATAACAAATTCGGTTCAAAAATTAGTAATAAACTTAAAAGTGATAAATTTTTTTTAAAAAAACCCTATTTGTATCTGTTTCATAATAAATTCATATGTTTTATTATAGAATTTTATACTATTTAATATTGTATACCTAGTAAAGATTATCGAACAATTCAATTTACAAGTCAACATTCGAATGCATAAAGCGAAAAGGGACCTCTTGTCGGCTAAGTTGATTTAAAGTTCAAAAGCGCAATAGCTAAACAAGCATCCATTAACTATAAAAATCATTGTTTAGGCATCACAAAATAAATGCCTTGTCTCGAGTTGTTCAAAAATCAATCAGGGTTTACAAATGAACAATTTTGGAAAATGCCTACAAGAAGCCTTTCCGAATTGAACGTCATAAATACATATAAATATAATTAATAGTTTAAAATGGAAACTAATCGTTTTGTGTTTGTTCGAAGGAACATTTTTCAGTTTTAATCAAACATCAAATTATTTAGTATATATAGATCAATAAAAAGACTCACCGGTAAAACGATAATGTATATTATCTGTATTGAAATAAAATATTCGAATCGGTCCAAGCAAGCTGTAGCTTCCTGTAGTGCCGGTGATAATTGATATGTTAACAGCTCGAAACGAAATTCTGTATGTACTTTTTAAAATGCTTAATATGTAACAGCTGGAAAAAATCAATATTATTTACTTGATAAAATTCTTAATGATTCCGGACCGGCGGCGCACTCCTCACAAGACGTTGCACTGGCGCCCGGATACTTTTATACTGGAATAAAAATAGATAAATTATCGGAGGAAGATCTACGGTAAAACGATCATTTTTTTTTTTTTTTAATATTATATCATTACCACTTTACAGAAGCTCGGTCGATTATCATGTACATATACATGCTTCGAATCGCTTTTTTAACCATAACAAAGGGAGTTACCGGGCTGGCAATGATTTTTTTTTATGATTTTTTTTTTCAGCGATTTCACCTTGGCCACCGTCAAGAAGTCGACCTGCAGAGAGACTTACATAAGTCACCACTCCACGGTAATGGTGTGTGTGTGTGTGTGTGGATCTATAACTATTGATCCGTGGCCTCAAGGGCAAGGACGGGGAAACAAACGTGTTCGTCATCTCGTCGGCGCACACGAGGTTAATTATTATTGTTATTATTATTATTATAATTATAAAAAAAAAAAAAAACAAATAATTCACGTGCCAAATTCTAAAAACATTGAGAAAGGGAAGGGTCGAAAAATTGTAAGTACATAATAACCGTTCAAATGCAACGCGCTATACTTAGGCGGGCACCGTTAACAAAAGTGCCAATTTCGATACTTGCTCTCATCAAGGATATTATCGTTTCCTTCGATAGGACGGTGACTTGGAATTAAAAAACCAAAATAGCGTCCCAATGGGTAAGGAAGTGCGAACGGCGTAATTCAATGTAACACAAAAACACTACAATAATATTGTGTAATCGAGGTATGTATTTCCATGCAAAATGTGTAAGCAAAACAAAATAAAAATGCTGAGATTTTGAGTCAAACATGGACGTGCGGGGCAGCACATTAATGTCTTCGGGGCTTTGTATATAAATAAACAAATCAAGCAAACTAGTAAATGGTTATAGTTCTTGGTTTAACTCCTAGCCTAAAGTGCATAACTACAACGCCATCTGACCAGCATGTTGTCAATCATTTCAATCGACGTTTGTTTTGGTAACAAAAAACCAATGTTCATTTTTTACAATAATATGTTATTATAAATATTTGTCGAATTAAATCCGGTTATAGATACACAAGTATAAACGGTTTGATTTATAAATTGTTATAACAGCTATCAACTCTGTTCGACATTGCATTCATCTTCCAAACGCCTAGCCTAGAAGAAGGCCTGCAATATGCTTCATAAGAAATTCATTTTTTTTTTTTTTATACAATGTGATCTTAATTTTTCACAATTTTATTCGTTTTCACCCCCCTCCCAACTTGGTTTGTAACTTCAATAACTTAAAAAAAATAGCTATCCAAAACTGATTATCGACCAGTCAAAATGTACATAAATTGTGATCACATTGTATAAGAACATTCATCATCAAGCTTAACATTTAAGGCCCAACACTGCCATCACGAGATGATGGTATAAAAAACATTATGTCGAAAAAAAAAAATTAAATTATTAATTAAACCCTATGAGATATATTGAGTGGCCCTCGACAAATTGATCACTCTGTTTGTAACCGTACTTACAAAAAAAATTATTTGTGTTTTTGCAGCACCCTGTGATCGATTTAGCCAAACACACAGACAGACCTAACCGTTAGACGTTTAGCTATAACTGCCATAATCCCAAAAATATATCTCCCACACAAATGACGGCATTAGGTGCTTATCCCAAATCCCCAAAGTTCTGTCCATACAAATCCGAGGTCGCCTCGCACTGTCCTCTTGTCATATTTATTTTTATCTGAAGCTTTCCAGCCTTTAAACCATCTAGTCTTATTGCACCGGTCGCGTCCAACTCGTTATTATTGTTCTAAAACGTTTAAAATTACTTCTGGTGTGCCTCGAGGGTCTATATTTAGCATATATTCAACGGGTTAGCTCTCCATAAGCACCCCTAGGTTTTGAATAATTTACCGGTAATTAGCATACATGTTTTAATTTTTAAAACTTAATAAAGATTCGGTTACAAAAAAATAATTTATGTATTGCCAGATGAATATTTCAATTGATTTTGCAAAAAAAAAAAATGGATTCGTGGAAAATAATTAATTGGTTATGGTAAATAGTTAATTATGTAAAAACCAAATAAACAATTTTATCAGTTCACGTGTAGTTGAATTTACTGTAAATTTAGGTACTGACTTTATATTTTAGTTTAGCTGTTTTGCATTTGTAGTTATATGCTAACCTTATGGTGGTTCAATAATATTGTTAGAGATTTTTGTCGTTAACTTTTGTTAACCAACCAATACAAACTACCAACGTTTTTTTATTTTATTTTAGTATTTCTTATTATTATCTAGTCGATGACATTACAAGTCAATCTGCAATCAACTTTACCATGCTGTACAGTGATATATTTATACATATTTTTTTTCGTAGATTAAATTATATTATGGTATAATCGTTTAATTAAATTTAGTACCGTCAAGTATAACATTATTTATGACTAAATTTATCACTAAATCTTGTTTATTATTAAAATTATTGTGCCATGTTTCTTTCGAGTTGCCTAAAATTTGAGAATTTTTCTAATATTTTTTTCAGAAAGTTTCAGAAAACCGTACAGATAATGTGTAAATTTCAAACCGATGTATCCATAAAAACAAAAGAGGTAAAAAATTCATAGAAAATTTGAGAAAACGAAAAATTATCTTATTTTTTTACACATGATTATTTCAACCATATTGAATGCTGTGGTCGTTTTTTCTAGGAATTTTGTTTTTTAACCGTTTTTTTTTTTTTATGGAGATATCAATTTGAAACATTGCACTAGATGTGCATAATTTTATTTAGTGCACTATTATTTTTACACACATACTTTCTATTAGAAGTTTATATTATGTTACCCATGTGTATTATATAATAACCATCGTGTACCTTTAGATTTTCTTAATGAAGTTCTTCTACTCGCTATATCGAGCCGTCCCACCGTAGAAGTGCCCCAAATGAAAGTCAATTATTAAGTTATACTTGCGCCACTCCGTCTCGCTCCAACAACCTGTGAAATGAAACTTTCGCTTCGGTTCCGGTCTAATTTCCTTTTTGCGTTTGCAGACTTAACGAATTTTTGTTTTTAATCTCCCGTCCCTTCGAGAAGAACAAAACGAAAAACTTGCTCACTTGCTGCCGTAGAAAATAATACGTTTGGCTTCATTGGATTTTCGATTGACCATTCCATTGACAAGTAGGTAGGTACATCACGTTAAAACCTATCTGTTGAAATAGAGATAAATTTAATTTACAGGTAATGTATTCTTCTTAGAATTGCAATAACTGTACAATATTTTGCATCTAGAACATTATTTGGCATAGGCATCACTAGGGGGGTGCTGGGGAGACTTTTGCACCCCCAAAAATTGAAACCCCAATTCTTGATTTGTACGCATACAATTTTAACAAAATTTATAATTGTATGCTAGTTTTAAAATTAAGCATTTTTATTAAGCTTGTTGAATATTTTTTTGTTCCAAATAAATGTGTACATACTGTTTAAAATAAAATTTATTATAAACATTTTATTTCCCCCAACACTTTTATATTTTAATAATATTTTTTTTTTTAATGATTTAAAACAATTGTTATGTGTATAAAATGTATGTGTCACGCACTTATATTGAACCAAATTTAAACTAAAAAAAAACTTACAATATTAAACATTGTCTGATCAATTTATGAGGGACTTTGTTGAATAGGGCTTTTCTTTTAAGTAAAAAATTAAAGGTATTTAACATTATTTAAAATTGTAGTTAATTTTCGGTTGTTTTCAAAGTAATTGACATTTAAAATAAAATGTGCTACAATTGACTGGTAAATATTGTTCTTGTAGTAAAATTATTTTTTACTTTTTAGTTCACTTTTTTTAGAAAAGCATGTTTTAATAAAGTTTTTTATTTATTTATGTTTTAAAAAATTAGGCCTTGCCAAGTTAAGGGTTAACGCATAGTTTTTGCCAACGTTTTGTCAAAAACATTAGTTTTTAACCCTTTGAGTCGCACATTAATTTTGTTTTTAATTTTTCAGTTTATTTTGATGGTGGTTTCAATAAGATTCTACAATTCACAATTGCAAAAAAAAAATATTTCATAGGTGGTTTCAATATAATACCACTATGACTCAAAGGGTTAAAATTGTCACAAGTTAATGGTTTTTTCTATTGGGAAAAAAAACTATTATTTTTAAGTGTTTTTCTTGGATAAACCAAAAAAAAACACAGAATTTGTCCGACAAATACACTCCTATATTTTATATCGTTATGTAATTATTGTTTATTACATTATATATATTTTTTTTAACAAAAATCAAAACCACATCTCTGCGTAAGTTGTGGTTGGATTAATGCGATAATTATATTATTATATTATGTGCCCGACGGCGACAATTGGGTACCTATCTTAATTATTACTCACAGTCTTAGTTTTTTAAAAGTTATCCAACAACACACACACACTGAGCCGAGTTTCGCAACAGTAACCTTAACCGTGGCAATGCGTTTGCGGTCACAGCTAACTATATATATATATATAAATAGTATACCCATTTGTGTACAGGTATACCTATTATTGTATTTTTCCAGTAGATACTCAAAACAGTAATTATCGTTAACGTGCGGTGAATGATCACTGCGGGAACACATTTTGCCAAGTTTTTTTTTTTTTTGTTTTCTCAGGTATATTATATAGATAATGGATGGAAATATTATACAGTTGTAAACCTACAATGAGTAATCATCGATCACCACCAGTACCTATACTGGCAGGTTAGGTCCCCAATAGGATTAAAACATTATAATCTAGTGTATAATATATAGGGCTAGGGAAGTCTTCTAAAATCATTCGAGAACCTAACCAAACAGACACAGCCCCCCAAGTATAAGGCTTATAATTATTTTATACTGAAATTCTGGTTTTTAATAAGTCTAAACTTCCTTAGCACCCCCCCCCCCTTTAATAGGTGACAAATAATTTAACATTTACCCGGCCAACTGCATAAGTAAGTATACCTTACCTTCAGTGCCAGTGTTGTGCAAATTCTTATTCGAGCAATGTTATCTATAAAAGTGAAAAATGATTTTACTACAAAAATATTTACCAATCATGTATAGCACTTTTTTTTTTTTTACAAACGTCAATTACTTTGAAAACGACCGAAAATTAACTACAATTTTTTAATAATGTTAAACATCTTTCATTTTTTTACTAAAAAGAAAAAGCGTGGCGCCTTATTCAACAAAGTCCCTTATAAATCTATCAGATAATGTTTAATGTTGTAAGTTTTTTTGCAATTTAAATTTGGTTCAATATAATAGTGTGTGACACATACATCTAATAGTACTTAATGAATTTGGACTTTGTTGAATTTATTTTTGTATACATAACAATTGTTTTAAATAATTTAAAAAACACATTAAATAAAAGTGTAAGGGAAATAAAATGTTCATAACAATTTTATTTAAAACAGTACGTACACATTTATTTGGAACAAAAAAATATTTAACAAGCTTAATAAAAATGCCAATTATTAATTAAATCAAAATTGTCCAGGTTTTCTTTCGATAATTCGTTTAGTTTTGAAAATTGTTAAGTAACATTCGTATTTCCAAATTTGATTTATGATAATATTAAGTATATATTTACTATATGTGAGTGGGCGTATCGCAAATCGTTTAAGAGTCGTCAGCCATTTCTTGTAGCCAAACTAATTCATATTTTTTCTTTTTTAAGACTATAATAAAAAAATATTTACTATTATAATAATAAATAACTTAAATCTAACGAATAACATATTATATAAGACTATCGTTTGATTATGAATTAAAGCAAGTCACACAATTAATATTTTCTCCTGTCGTACGTCTGAGCAAATATATTATAATATACTTTTATGTTATTTAAAATGTAACCACGAGTACAAAACACTTTTTTTTTCATTTTAGTTATTCAAATATTATAATTTTGGTACATAGCTTAGTGTTCATAGATCATCAACCAATATAAAAATAATTTTCAATTCCAACTCATTTTATACAAAAAAAAAAGAAGCTAAATCATCTTTTAAAAACTTTGAATTTATATAATAAAAATTGTAGAAAAATACCATTAACATATCCTAGTTCGGTTTCGTAAGCAAATTAATAACATCGAGAAAATATTGTTTTTCATTTATAACATTATGGCACATAAAATATGATTAACAAAAACTGACTGTAATTATTTCGGTTTTTAATAACACTTCATTGATGACAAATGAATTAATATTATTAGAGTTTGGTTCCAAATTTTTCATCAAACTTTTTGGAAATCAAAACAATATTCGCAAGGACTATCAAGCAAGACTGTCTGTGATTTTTACAAATTATATTATATAATAATAGTTGTTACAACGAAATTCATGAGAATTTAATGTAAACTAATAAACTACAAAAATTCATTTTATCGAAATTACAAAAATCGTAATAGCTGAAATGGATTTCTTATTAAATTTACAATACAACATACTTGATAGAACATAATAATAATATGAATCGTAACTAAGCGTATATCACCTGTGTTGTCCTGGACCTCGAATCTAACATTAATTTATAATAGGTAAGAAAATATGTAAATTACAAATATAGCTTACATGTATTAAATAATTTAAATGAATTATGAAAATATCAAAATCACTATGGAGAAAATAAACAAGTCCTTGGAAAAAAGTTCAACGAAAAATAAATTAACAAAATAAAAGAGCTGCAACTCTTATATGTCGAGCGACAAGTTCTTAGTCTAAATCTATTCTACTAGGTTTTGCCGCGTTATCATCGTCATCTTTGTCAGAGGACTCCGCTTGCTTGGACGTGTCTCCGTCATCAAAGTCGTCCCATTCTTCGGTCAGGTCAACGGGCTTGACGACTTTTTCTTGCGCCGCATCTTCTAGGGTGACCGTTTCGACTTCGGTGGCTTCTTCGCATTCTGGCGTTTCGTCTTTAACTAGGTTTTCCGATTCTTTCAGGACGTCGTCGTTGTTCAGCGTGACTTCTTCGACTTTATCGCTGCCTTTGTTTTCGGCTATAATTTTAGAACCGGGCGGCAGAGACGAACTGTCCACTACAGGAATAAGTATCTCTTTTGACGACGTCTCGTGGAGTTTGTGGAAATTTCTCAAATGTGCTTTGAGCATGAGGCTCGACCGGAATATTCTGGAACATTCATTGCATGTGTAATTGTTTAACATTTCCCGTTTCGGAGACTGCGAGCTAATGCATTTATTCAAAATTTTATGTCGATTTAAATGCACATCTGTCGTGGCGATAAAGCCGCATTTGCTGCATTTGGGAAATTTGTACTCATCCGGAGGCGTGATGTTGTGTTTGGTGTACATGTGATGAATCTGTAGACTTTTACGAACTGAGAAATGGCCACAGTGTTCACAAATGCGAGTATCTTCTTTTTCGTTGTGTTTTTCGACCAAGTGCCGCCTGAACGTTAAGTAGGTGTCCAATTTTAAAGGGTCCGACTCGGTTCCGCATAGATCGCACGACCACGGCCCTTTAGTGTTGTTTATGTCCGGTTTCACTTTGTGCGTGGTCAAAGGTTCCTTGACGCTGGTGCCGGCCGGTAGTATTTTGTTCACCGAATTGGGCGTGTTGATAATTATGCTCTCAAACTGACTGTGGTTGCTACTCGACATTATTTTCAATTTAATATTGCCTTTGCTCTGCAACAAGTGAGGGAATTTCTTTAAGATTTCCTGTACCACTTTGCTGTTGGTGTTCTCCGGGTTGGTATCGCTGACGATTTTTAATTTCTTGCCCGCCGGAGACGACGTGGCAGACTGAACCACCTCACCTTTGGTGACCTGAGGCTTTTTGTTTTCGTTTTTGCCGATTACTTCTCCGTTGGCAGCTCGTTTAAGCATTGCTCTGGCGCATTCTAAATTTTCTTGTTTAATCAACGGCTCGCTGTCGTACCGCGGCAATTCGAATGTATTTTCTAAAAATTCGGGCACATCTTCGGCGTCGCAATCGAAACGCATGGGTTTGTGTTCGCTCAACACGTCTTTGACTTTCATCGTGTTGATAAAAGTCGAAGCGGGCGTATGTTCGGGCGGTGATCTCACGGTCGTGTTGAATTGTACAATCTGTTTTTTCGCCGGTCTGTATTGGTTCAGAGCGATGGCCGAATGCGGCTTGGAAGAGGACGCAATCCCCTGGTACTCGAGCGTTTTGTTCAACGCCCCAGACTGAGACTCCAAAAGCTTGAGTAGGACATTCACTTGTAACATGTCAGCGACCTCGAGCAATGCCAAACGTGAATCTTCTGTATAATGAAGCTGTCCCGTGTACATAAACATCACCACACTCTTGACGGCGTTAAAGTTTAGATGGGCGGGCATGGTCATGGAAGTATCGCTGTTTGGATGGGAAACAAAATAATCTGAACACGTGTTTAAAACAACGCGGTGAACTTTGAACGATTCGTTGGTTGTAGAACGAATAGTGTAATCGCAATACTCGTCATTTTTCGCCAAATTATTAAGCCGTTGCATGAAAAAATTGCCCCAGTTGTCAATTTTCAACTGACTTGGAGCTCCCATGATTGCAATATAGTACCTAAAAATATAAAACTACAATTAAACTCAAACTCTTATCAATATGTTCTAAGTTTTTTAATATAATTTTAAGACACAATGCTCTTTAAGTTGTTCATTGTGTATTGATATTGGTCTGATAGCTGTCATAACATATTATTTAACAAATTTATTTAAATAATTTTTTTGTCGAACTGAAAATTAATATGTAATAACTGTGCGTGTTTCAACAATAAATCAGCAAATTGTAAATGATTTAAATTTCTACTTAAAATGATTTTATGTTTTTAACAAATTTATTTATTTTTACATAAACCTATCTAGTTTTTGATATGGTTACCTCACTTGAATTTTTACAGATCAAGACTCGATTAATAAAAGTACTATACCTACATTTTGTATTAAATAATAATATTACTATATATAAATTAATATGTTTTATTATTGTATTGGGATATTTGAAACACTTTTTAAAACTATATTTTAAAGATCGTATTGAAGAAATTCGGCTTGATAATTCCAGATTTAAATGAAACGTAACAATTATAAGTAATACACGCGACACAGCGATGAAACCGCTTTTTTTTATCAAAGCGACTAGCATATATAAAAATTTAAAAACTCATATTAGATATATTTTAATTGCTACTGGAGTGTAAAATGTACCCACTTAATACATGATAAATTATTACTATAACGTTACACAATACCTTTAGCTATCGATTGTGGACATACGTTGCCGATATCTCAGACAGCGTACAGTGACAGGGCTTGTTGGCGTACAGCTTTACCGTGACATTGAGACATCCGTGGTCCAAGTCATGTCCGAAAACCGATGGCCAGCCACTCTTGAGGAATGACAAATCCGGCCTTATGTCCAACGACGGCGGCGGCGGCGGCTTGTCCGGTTCGACGGCCGCGCAAAGGTCACCTGAAATTCGAAAAATCCACGTCAGACGACCAAAAGGAATTGGGTATCAACGAATCCAGGTTTTGGCGCGCTTTCCAGACCGGCCGTGTCGGTTCGGCCATGGTTTCAAGTTTGAAGTTTCTGTTAATAAAGAAAAACGTAAACACCGTGTACTGCCGGCGGCCCCCCCTACTTCTTCAAGCCTTTAGCACTTTTTGTCGAACAGAATGCGACGGCCGACGGATCGACGGGCAAACGCTTACCACGAGATAGTGCTGTCAACAGCGGCGGCGACGGCGGCTGCCAAAGCTGGGCGTTCTGGATATCGTTTTGAACAATACCGTCCGCGTGTGTGTGTGTGCAAGTTGAGTTTGCTATCAACCACTCGAATAGGTCGTTTCACGAATATTTCGTCGGAAAACGTTGTCGGTGAACAAACAGTGGAAAAATGCCCAGAAAAATCGGTTAACCCACAGGGGAAGACGGTCGAACGGCGGCGAACGGATGACGGCGGCCATTAGTCCACAGCGCGACGACGATGGCCACCGCTTGCGACGCGCCACCTGCCGGTGACAATAAACCACGGACGCGGTCGACCGCAGTGCTGCCATTTGGTCGACGCCAAATTATGCGCACACCCGATCGCTGTGTAACACCAATCGGTACAAATCATAATATTGTCCCGTTTTCTTTTAAGTCATTTTATTGTGTAAAAAAACCTCAAAAATACATAAAATAATGGATGGTCCGTAAAGTGATAACAACAAGATGGTGACAGCCTTATACAGGTAAAATAACCCATACGGTTAACCATAGCCAGACAATATTTCTATGGAAAAAGAACAGCTGTCTTTCTTACTTTAATACCCCTTACTTTGCTAATGTTAATTATAGGCATGACCTATGCATTCTTTTGTTATTTATGCGAAAATGACTTTCAAATAAAAGCTACGGTGCGAAACTGTTAAACGATAAAAACTAATATTAACAAATAAGATAAATCATTTTTTTTAAACCAATACATGACGTGAGGCTTTTTTCTTTAAAAATAAAAACTGTGATTATCTACACAATTGATACTTACAAAAAAATAGTAACTTATAATATTATGTATGCTGTTGACAATAATCTACTGACAATTATTTTGACTGATCAAATTGGGAAATTTGTATTTAAAAACACCTACTATGAAATTTAGAGATACTGGATTTTTTTTTTTTACGGAAATATTCCATATTCGTTTTTAAATATAATTTCTAGGAAAAAAAGTTGTTATAAATAGGTGAAAAAAAAACTTTTTTTAAACTTTACCTACGATTAAACCCAAACAATGAATACTATATTGGCAATCGGATAATATCTTTAAAAAATTGTCGTTTTTACTCCAAAAATGGAGTCAAGTACAATGGATCGAAATATTATTCATTTAACCAAGTTTTTTTTTTAATTAAATGAATCTAGTTAGAAATATATACAACTGTCGAGTTTTAATTTTGGTTCTTGTAGAAAAACCTTAAAAGTAGTAATTTTACCTAAATTTTATCACTTCTTCTTCGTATGTAGTTTTTCGTCTAGAAAATTCGAATTTGAAAACTAATTAAGTTTTACTATTTAAAAACATATGCGAGAATCCCTCTCTTGATAAAAAAATGTTTTATAAGTTTTCAACTATCAAGTTTCGTGTACAAAGTACTTAAGTAACGATCTTTAAAGGTATTTTCAAGTGTCACACATTTCAGCTTTTAAATGCTTGTTTTTTTTTTTAGTTGTACAAGAGTTTTGGATGGTCAGATATTATCGTGTTATTCTCAGACTGTGTCGACTTGATCGATGAATCAAAACTATAAAATATAGATGGCGCCAAGTTCATTTAGATACCCGACAAAAACCACTAGTAATACAATAAGACACAGTTTGAGGACGCTGCATAAATACTTAAGATTTTGTTGTGACACTTGTTGCGCGGTAAAAATTTAACAAATAAAATGATCAAAAGGGCGCGCTTTGATCGTTTTATGATTAATATAATGTACCTTTAATTTTGGTAGATAATAATATGTAGTAAGGTCACTACAAATAACGTCACTGAATAAAAATACACCCCACACGTCATATTTATCAAACATTATTTTATTAAACGTACTATTTTAATTTAATATACAATAGTAACATTTACAAGGGGAATGCAGTTCTATTTAACCGATCTAATTAATAGTGTTCAAATTTAACAATAACTGGTTTAAAAGGCTCATAAAATAACAAAAAATTGTACCGTTGAACTGACGTGAATCGATTACACACTGCAATACAAACGATTGTACTCATTATAGTTATAATAACCTAAGGCAATTGTTTATTTTATAAACATAGCACAGATAGTAGTATTAGTGCAAGAATGGATATCAGTCACACTTAAAATATTGGCCCGGGTCGTTTGGCTATCCACGATTTGATTTGAGGGATGTCCAATACTTTTTGTTTGAGTTTCCCTAAATTTGGACGACCTTCTACCATGTCCACGTCTATGACGGATTTCAAATGGTCCAAGATAGCCACGAAATATATGTCAGCCCAAGAGAGCTAAAAAAAAAAATAATAATAATGGCTGTAAAAATATTTTTTAGAAAATTATATTATGTATTAGAAGAAGGTATGTCATCGCTGGTAAAAATTAAACAATTGCAAACTAAATCATTATTCTGAAATCATTGTAAGAAGACATCACCATCGCAAAAAATAACATATCTTAATTATTCTGACATCACTCGAGTTTAAATTAGGAGCACGATTTATGCCACATGCCATATATATATGGACTTAATGAATAGTGGATCATTAGTTATTGTTATTTAAAATTCGTTATAAAACAAAACCCTTTGTGGAACTTGTTAGTCATAATAAGTAATTCAAATATTATTCATTAACGAAAAGCTACTTAACCCTAACTTGATCACCTTTTCGTACCAGGTGCAGTTAACCCAAGAGTTTTGTGGGGAAAATACTCGGTAAACGTTGGCACCGTAGCACGAGGGGATTCTTTCATTGTAGTTTTTTTTTAAATTCTGCTAAACAGATGAATCACACGACAAACAATAGTTGTACTATCTCCCCACTACAGGTACTTACTCGCGTCGTTAATATCCACAAACAATGTCGTCTGATAAACACTTTTAAATATTTTCACATTTAATATTGCTGTAATGTTTTTACGTTTAAGCCACATTCCGATAGTTCGACAGTTATAAGCAGAAAAAGATAGCAGCGTACAAGACAATAAAAACTTGGCACACTCGTGAATCATAAAGTGCTTACAAAATTTAACTCTTAAAATTCCTTTTACGATGGTAATATTATGTTCGCCAATCTCTGGATAATCGATGAATGTAAAAGATTCTTAGAGAAACAAGTAACATAACCCAAGTTACTTGCGGCCACCGAGACTTACAGAATAAGTACCTATCCAACAGTGGTGGTTCTCGTTGGGCGACATAATTTATAATAATTAATTCAGAAACCTTTTCAAAAAAATTCTTGAACAATTCATTCACAGAGCACGTCTGTGAAAAAACACAATTACTTGCGATTTTCATTATACCAACAAAACAAAATATATGCTACTATCTTATTTGTTTTTCATACTCACAAGCAAATTGATAAAAATTAGCGAAAATAATACTTTAGTTAACAAAGCAAGAGAGTACCTTTCCATTGACAAAGTATCCGCCATTTTCGGAAACCGTTTTTTCGAATCTTTCCAAGTAGTACGGGATCGATTCCTTGACCAGGATTTCCTTCTTTTTATTTCTAGCTTCTTCATCCGGATCGTGATAATTCTTCATTATTTCTACAATCGTTAAATAATTAATATCAATGTACAATGCATGTGTATATATTGTGCATTGCACGCGCTATTCATAAACGCAGGTAATTAAATGATAACGACTTAAAGAGTTCTACGACCTTTAGTCCATTTGTTTACTGTCCTAATTACTTTATCGTCTGGACTACTTAAAACTAATTTCAATTAATTTAATCACCTTTAGTTACCTTGTCTAATCTCAAAGACGTTATCGACCGCGATGTCAATCAACAACGATTCCCATTCGTCTTGGCCGGCCAATCCGGCTTTCTTCGCTAGGTACCGGCAAATAGGCACCGACTGATTTAACACCTTTCCGTCCACTTCCAACACCGGTACTTGTCCAAAGGGCATTCCTTTAAAAACAAAAACCAGTACAGTGGTTAAACGGTTAAAAAACACAACAAAAAAAACTTCCACCCGCCGTCGCCACATAGGAACATTAATAACAAACACAGGCGCAAAATAGTAAAATAAAAATTACTGTATATTATTAAATATTTTTAAAATAGACTCATCATACTTATGGTTAATAGAATTATTTAATTTTATGTTTACCTCAACCCTGTTATATTATTATGTAAAAGTCACGACTGTCCTTCTTTTTTTTTTACTTGTCATCACGCCTTACTACTATTGAACTCGACCAGTTTTGTTTGTTTAGTTAAAATACCAATTAAAATTGGGCCGGATTTTTAAGACGAATTCTATACAAGATGATGGTAAGAAGATTTTATATACGCTTACACATCTAAATTTATATGTATGAAATATTGATAAAGAAAATTAATTATTATATTTTGAATGTCGACTTGGTTTTTGAAGCATAATGTTTAAAAAAACACCTTATCGACTCATAAATGAAATTACATATATTTTATAGACAATTTTCCAAGGAATAAAATAAGTTATTTTTTATTCACGGCTTTTGGCGATTTAAATAGAAATTGTAACATTTAAAAACAAGTAAAAATTGAACAAAATTTTGTTTTACTTTTTAGAATTATCTCGTTTTTTTTTTTTTTCGAAATTTCTGCAAAAACTAAAAATTATTTCATGGTATTATTTAACGTCAAAAAACATTGGCTTAAATCATAAAAATTAAAAAAAGAAAAATTATTACCCGTAAGAAGTAAAATCAATGTTTTTGAAAAAATGAATGGAGAAAGTTCAGAGTAATTTGTCATAAGTACTATATACGTGATTGTTATATAAAAAAATATAATATTCTATACCTGAGCATATAATATAATATTCTATAAGGATTTATTTAAATATTTTATAATATATAACCACAAATGTTGCTTAAGATTTTTCTTCATTAATATGTTATGTTACATTTACATAGAATTTTCAAAATAAACATATCGTAATACAAATAATTAAATTAATACATAGTTAAACAGAAAAAATTAAATTTTATCTAAAAGTAAGTGTTGTTTATTTACAGTCGATGAGCATATTATACTTATAAACTCAATTAAAATTATGGCTTGTCAAAGTTGAAAATTGGTTAATTATTTTTTTAAGAGTGAAGGAAAATTTACCCCCCCCCCCCCTGTATCAACTAGATAAAATTTGAGATTTATTAAGTTGCCACTCGAAGAAATTGGTCCAGTATTAAAAAAACTTACAGTGGGTACAAAACTTAAGAAAAAAAAGCTCACATCTTACTCACTAGTTACAAACGCCATCTCGGTCCGGTTTACCTGGTTTTATCGCTGGCCATTGTTCGCGTTCAAATCGGTTGTCTTCGAAATCTTCTCCCAAGTATGACAACAAAAACCTAATCGGTTCTGCTCGGGCGGTGAAGTTAAAGTACGTTAACTTGTACTTTGACATGGTACCGGAAACAACGTCGACCGAATTTGTATTTTAAACTGAATTTAGGTACAAACAACTGGGCAGGTTTTGTGTATGTTTTAATAATAATTATACAAGAGTGTGTGCACAGAACGCTAGTGGAAAATATCTCCAATCGTGCACCAACGTTTGCTACTAGTCACTAGTGTACTGTCTACTGAATACTATCTACTGATATAAAAAACATATTGTTGGGCTGTGACGTGCAACAGTAAGTAATATAGCTATAAAGTGTCGACCAATAGAGAGAAAGCATGGGTTCCCAACGTGTTATACAATGGTACAAAACCGGAAACCCGGCCGGTATGTCCGATTAATAAGTTCCATATAATGTATATACAAACAACTGAGTGATTGGTTAACTATGACCCAGTCAGAAGAAGATATTAGGCGTTTATAAGTTATCTTTTTTTTATACTTTAGTTGGGACAAATGTAATACAGTTAAAAAATAAAATCCCATCCTTTATATTATGTTAAAACCGTATGAACTTAAGTTTTTTTAAACGGTAACTTATATATTTGATTAACTTTAATAACGAAGAATAATTTGTCGAACATTTTGACTGGTCGATAACCAGTTTTGATAACAATTATTTTTAAAGTTTATAAAAATATAATACTACATTCCACCTTTCCTCCTGCCCTAAACTTGAGAATCTTCAACAACTTCAAAAATAGTTATTCAAAACTGGTATTATCGACCAGTCAACATATGTTTAGTACATTATTCTCAATTTAAAAATATAATGAATTGTATGCGTTACCATTTAAGTTTCAAAAGTTGCTATCAAAGTTATACATTTGGAGAGGGGTAAAAACAAAATGTAATTTCTCATTAAACCCTCTGACATATTGAGTGGTTCACGATAAAATGATCAACCTGTATGTTATATTATATACATTAGATGATCGCATTCGTCAGAACAACGCTAAATCATTTGTTTACATATCATATTTTCTACATAACAAGTGGCAGTGAACATCTACAGCTAATCTAATCGCGTTTGTCTTTTAAATTAAAGCTTTTTATTATCCTCCGATATTTTACACATAGTAACACACTCGATAAATTCTTCTTTTCGAACGTAACACAAATTCATACCAATCTCTATCTTAAACATATTATATAAGGTAAGATAAAGTACCTACCTACAATAATATCACTTACTATACTGCACCTATTCTGAATGTGTGTCTAATTGTCGATTATTCAAGTAACTCTGATTTCAATAACGTTGTTTAATCATTCTATCAGTAATTAAGGCTTAATGAACTTTGAGTTTTTAACATGAATATGGGTAATTGAAAATGTTCGTGACACTTTTTTGTGAGTTGTGCAAATCTGGCCCATTAAAACATTGTTTTATGATTTTCTAGATTCGGTTACTTGTTTACTCGTCTTGAATTGTTTTAATTTCTTATTTAAATTGTATGGTTTTTTTTTTTTTTTGAACAGTACCAACTTCACGGATCGATATTGACAACTTGCCGAAGCCACTGTACTTGTATTGCACTGAACAAAATAAGTTAGTATTGTTTTGGTTTCGTTTCAAATAGACGCTTACAAACATAATAATTCTGAAAAGTCTTTATTTGTTTTTTTTTATTCAGCAGTTAACACCACTAAGACAAAAACTACGATTCAAATCGAATATTTCATCGAAAATTTGATACAATGCGACATGTGTGTTTGGTGAAAACTTATCATAAAAGTTACATTTATACAATTATTATAATACCTAATTAAACAATCAATATTTTATCGTAAGTTATATATTATGATACATATTTATATAGATGATAGATAATATATGTACAACGATAAAAAAATAAATAATACTTATTCTTAGCACAATCAATACAAAATAATTATTGTTATTAAAAACTCAATATTAAAAATCAACCCGTTACACTGATGTACGCGTACGTTATACATAATAATATAAAACAAGTTAACGTTCAAACAATATTATTACTATTAAACATTTTCACTTAAAAATCATAACAAATAGTACATATTATATAGGAGAGAAGTTATCATGTATTTAAAGTAATTTATAATAAGGAAGATTTTTCTCTAAATTAGAGAGAACTCTTAAGAACGAGAAAGTCGTCGCCGGTGCACGATGATAGTGTAATTTTTAACAAATCAAAATAATATACTCTCATTTATGTATTAATCGTTTAAAGTCGAACAGGAACACAGCCACTCCAGTCTTTGTCTACACTAAAAAAGACTACGTCTCCATTGAAACTATCTGTTATAATATATTATGACTATATGCAGATATCTACATTATTATTATTATTTTTTTTTTTATACAAACAAATTTCCGTCCACCATATATCGACCGAAGATCCGAGAATTGTTTTGTTTTCTTAAACAAAAAAACAAATACATCCATCCATCTTACGGCGAATACGGCGGGGGCTTGCTGAAATCGTGGGGAGGAGGCACCGGCACCGGCATGTGCGGTTCGGGGTGTTGCTGCTGGGGCATAGGAACGATGACTTGGGGGTACGCGGCCTGCTGCTGGTCCGGCTGCTGCACGCGTTGGATGACGTACGGCTGCCCGGCTTGGACCGCGCAGTTCAAGGGCGGCGCCGAAGACGTTTGGCTGGCATAAGAATGGACCGCACTGACGGCAGCCCGGTTTTGCACGGCCTGCACGTACTCGATCTCGTCGTGGTAGAAGATTCTCACCACGTACAGTCCGAACGCCTCGAACACTGCATTTTTGTTAAAACACACAATTATTGTATAATAGCTAAGCCGCCGACGTTATTCAATAACGAGAAAACTAAAAATAACCTAAGGAGGAAAAGTGCAACTCTGAAGTGAAAAAATACCTATAGTTCCGTTCCACAACATTTAATCATGGATACGTCACCTCTTATCACTTATATTTTGTCTCTTACAGATATATATTATAATTAACTATTCAATAACTATTACGCCGCCAATAGAGATAATTTAAGAGTTACCATTTTCCGCCATATTTGTGGGATTAGAACCTTATCACATGTTTAAACTGTTATCACTACTTATAACAATTGAAAGTTAAGATGATAGCACAGAATCACAGATACATATATTATTTTATACACACATAAATCCCACAAAAATGGCCGACGTCGACTTCCATTCTTATCACTAGTTAGCAAACTAGATTATTACTATATATATATATATCTGTACTTATCTTTTTACTTTTATCTCGTATCTCTGATCTCTTATCACTGTTTTCTTTTCTCTAACTTCTTATCACTTATCTCTTAATACTTTATAATATTTTAAACAATTTAAAAAATATTTTTGACATTTCTTGTATCCCGCTCAATAACATATCCATGTTAAAATTCAGTGAGATAGACGTTGGTCCGAAAAGTGGAGAAACAATAGGAGATAGCAAGGGGAAAATGTGGAAGGTGTATTTAGAAAACGTATAAGACGGTATTGATAAAATACCCGGTTCTGAGAGAGAAGAAAGTTGCAGGAACAGACAAAATTCAATCGGAATTTTGGAAAGAGCCGGTGAAGAAATATACTCGATGAGTACATGTTATTTAAAAGAGTATAAGAATCTTTTTTTTTCGAGAAATAAAATTTAAAAAAAATGAACTTATACATACGGGTTATAACTATTCCGAATAGGAACCTTCCGATATTGGGTATGATGAACGCAGGCACGACGAGGAATACCAAAGAAAACACAAAGATAATTGTGTATATCACCAACCATTGATGGACTCGGTAAACTTCGTGCTAGAAAAATAACATCATTAAAACCGCTAAACGACTTGGTCGTTTTACCCCTAGCAATATACTTGTAATCCCTAAACCCTGTTTAAATAGTGATTCTAGCATTGAACTTCAAACAATATTCAAATATTTATACCAAACGGGTAAAACTTTTACAATTTTAACGCTGAATTTCTTGCATTTACTAAAAATATAATATAAAATATTTATATTATAGACGTATATTAATATTACAACTCACTTCAGAAGTAGCTAAGCTCAAGTAAAAATTCACATAGACCATTAAGACGACAATGAACAACATGGACAACAAGGAGAAAATATGTTCGTATTGTAGTTGATCTCTGTCTATGCTAGTTTCATCTGAAAAACATGGCAGTCGTTATTTACATAAATACTTGACAAGTTTAAAAACTATAATTAACCCCTTGTGCGTTGCATGATTAAAATATACCAGGTTATTGCATATTCCCACTCTATGTGATTATTTTTTCACAAAATGGCAGCGTAACGGGCGGCATTCTCATTGGCCGATATTTACCCGCGCAAATTTGAAAACAAAAATTGTATTTTTACAATTTTATCAATTAAAAAAATACTTATTCCAATACAAGTTACTAATACCACCTATGAGAGCCCCTAGAAAAGAAAAATGAAACTTAGTTATGATGAAAAACAAAATCAAATTTTAAACACACAAAAACTGAATAAAGAAATAGAAGAAAAAAAATAATAAATTAATCGAACAAGCCGGAAAATTATAATTACAATTAATAAACAACTAATATTAATTAAACTATAAACACTTTTATTTATTTGTCCATTCTTCTTATTTAGATACATTTTTTATTTCACATTATAAAATATATATAGACAATTAAAAAATCTGTATCGAATAAAAAATCCAAATTAAAAACTAGAATTTCTTATATTTTGTTCATGTGTAAGACTTATAACACTGTAAACTGATAAGAGAAAAATAGCTTATCAGTCAATAAATTTAAACCAACAAGAACGCTGCCCGTTATGGTGCCATTTTTTATTTTGCGTCTGAAAATGTTAGGAAGAGGGGGTAGATATGCAATAACCTGGTATATTTAAATCATGGTGCGTTGCTTACTTAAGAACCACGTGGTCTGTCCGGTTTGTCTACTGCATCTTATGTCCGACACAGGGTGTATAGTTCTTATGATGTTAATCAGTTGCACTAAGCTAATCCACTGAAAACAAATTAGAAAAAAAAAAACAATAATCATTTTATTTTCCATACGACTTTGGCGACTAAAAAAACAAGCTAAAAGAAAAGAAAAACATACAGTCTAATGTACAATCTAAAACATGAGTCATTCTAAAAAAAACAATACCCCATTATCATTGTCCGTCGATGACGAGTATTTTAATAACGATTTTATTTGAATACACGCTAATTGATTTTCGTTAACATTAACTTGACTGATAATTGGATTAAAAAAATATATCTGTAATAAGTATCCGTGTGTTGTGCGCAATGTGTAATAATATGTATAAACCGTTTTTTAGATTAATTATGCAACGATAATTAAGATAACGTTATACAATGAACTACAAGGTGATCTGGCAATTAAACATGACTAAGCGTTTATCTTGAATGCAAATAAACTTATCAAATGACAACAGTGACTGATTGGTAAATGGTACTTAGTTTTGAACAACTATACGTACAAACGACTGTACAGTGTTAATAAATCAAATTAAAATTAAAACACACTCGATTTTTTTATATATTTTTTGCGCCTTTTTATTAATTAACTGGTATAATGGCAATAAAAGAGTCTTTTTTTTAAAATGATTGTACCATATTTTGAAACATTAATATGTGTTTATACGACGAAATGTAGGTCATATTTATTTAAAATTTATGCAACACATTTAGATACATTCGCTCGATAATAAACGCGCTAAACATAAATAATTATTAGAATCAAATAAATATGGCCCATCGATAATTGGGTCGTTCATTGTAAAAGCGGTTAACTCAAAAAAAAAAAAAGTTTATTTATTACATTAGTTTTGGTTTCGTTTTTTAAGTCACTAAACATTTGACTTGTAATAAACAATTAAAAAAAAAATAGAAAACACTGAATGAATACTTGTATTTTTTTTTTTAACAAACTCGTTAGTTCCAAATCAAATTACAAGGGGATAAAATATTACTTTTACAATGACCGACCCGATTGACGGTTAAGGCGGTATTTCTTAAAGGCGGTTTGGGCGCAAGTGTGCAACGGAAAGGGGTCAACATAATATTTTTAATTAATTTATTGATCTAGTCACACTGATAATTAATACACAATACCGCAAGACCTGTAAACAGCTTATCTGTGTTAATTTACCGTTAAAATGCTGCTAAAACGAGTGACACGCGAAAAAAGTCAATGGCATTTTTTTCATAACTGTGAATGGTCGGCACAAAAATAAGAGGTCGCACTGACAAAATTGAAAGTTTAAGGAAAATTTCATACCTATTTCTGACACTTGCAAGTGTTATTTGTACCGACCGTTTGGTAATTTTTTTTTTTAATAATAATTATTATATTAATAGGCGGACTTACAAAGTTTAACTTGGCGATGATGTTCGTGGTGGTCCGCACGGTGGAAGTGCTAAAAAACCGCGGCGATCCCGTCATGTCTCGTGCGGTTTTTTTTAATACTTGAGTGAGTGTGTGTGTGTACTTGCTTCTTTCGAGTAAGAAAAAAATATATTACTTAATATGCTTTATTACGGCTAAAGCTGTTGTTTTTGGCGTCGACACAACAATAACGACTAGGGACGAATAGCCGGCGGCGAACAGGTCTGGGCGAACAGCAGATAACGATGACGATTCGGCGTACACACTTGAGAGTGTAATCGCAGATTGTGTGTGTGTCTTTAAAATATAAGAAAAATTACTTGTAAAAATAAATCGGTGGGGAAACGGCGGATCATGTCGAGTTACAGTGCGATTAAACGACACACATTCGTGCACTCGAGTATTTGATAACTGATAAGAACCGAATGACTGTTGCCGGCGAAAATATCCAAACGCTTACCTGGGTATGTGTGTCATAACAGCTAGAGGACGGCATAATATTCCCTTAAAATAGCCTCAAAATAAGATGCGCTAATATTCTTTTAAAAAGTTGAAAATATTCTTTGAAAATCGTAAGACAATATGCAAAAAATATGCTTTTATTCAAAATATATTCTGTTAAATTCAAAATATGCTTTTATGCAAAAATGTTTTGATACTTTAGAGGTATTACAAAAAAAAAAAAAAATTGTTGAAAATTCTTTTATTTGCCAAAAAGTATTTAAAAATTGTCATATAACACTTAAAAACAGGGCCTGATTTATGCAAGTGCAGATGGTGCACTTGCACTTGGCCCCGCAAGCTGCAGCAATTTTTTTCTTATCAAATCAACATAAATTTATTTTGTAAAATGTAATACAATCAATTTCAGTATATTTTTACAGTAGCATTAAAAATCTTGACTCGGTAATTGAAACTTTTGCAATGAAAAAATCAAAAAAGAAATCTTTGTATTTTTTTAACTTTTTTGTGATAAAATGTTATAAAAAAAAAAAAAAATGTATCATTATTTTTTATTTAATTTGAATTATATAAAACAAACTTATAAATTAATACCTAAGTTATTTTTCCGTTTTTGCAAGACTGCAAATTTATTTATTTTAATTTAAATTCTTTAATTCATTAAAAGTATGTTTTTTAATATAGTATAATTTTTAAAATTATTTAATTAGTATTATATCTTCATTATCCATAAAATATTGTACAAATATATTATGAGTTGTGTTATAAGTATTTAACCAAAGTTCTTTTTTTGATTACCAACGTTTTTTCCTCCACTCTCTGCAGATTTTTTTCAGGAAAAATTTTCGACTTGGGGGCCTCAAATAAGTTGATGCACTTGGCCTTAATTTCATTAAATCGGGCCCTCCTTAAAAATATTACAAAATAAAAAAAGAAACTGATTTATAAATATAATAAAAAATAAAGTTCATGACTTACTTGTTAAGAAAATTATTCTTTTTGTTGATCTATTTTTATTTTGATATTACCTCTATTTTCTCGTGGTACTTTTTGAAATTTAACAATAATTGTATCTTCAATTAGTTTTATCGAATCAACAAGAGCTACACATTTGACTTCTCTAAACTTTCGATGGTTGTTCACAAGCACGTGGAAATGCATCTTAATAATATTAATCCATTTTCTTCAGTTTTCAAGTCAAGAACTCTGTTTTACATTTAAGTATAGACTGACTGGCAGCTTCCCACCAAGTTCCCCATCTGGTCAATACTGGCTCTGGTGGTTATAACACTCTTTGTATATTATATTATATTTTAAATACTTGTATACAAGGGAAGTCGGTGAAGCAGCTGGTAATCTAGTGACCGGGAAGGGCTAGATTTAGTTTAGCCTTATAATTTCTGTATATTTAAAGGTCCATTTTTTATAAATAAATTAACTAAACTTGAATAATAAATAGCTACAATTATATTTGAAGACTCGATCGGGGTATGTTTTACTCTTCGATATGTCTTATATAAGTGACAAGTTATAACTTCAAGAACCAGTTCACTGAATTCACTATATTTGGTTTCTTGAAAATTCTACATAAGAATCGACAAAGGAATATAGAAAGTTTAACCTGAAAAAAACGACCACAGTAATTATAATGAAATAATTATGTGTAAAAATAAGACAATTTTCCGTAAATTCTATGAAATTTCACCTCTTTTTTTTGTTTTTATGAAGAACTCAATTTGACATTTACTCATTTTATCATGTAAAATTGTGTCAGCTATCCGAAAAAAAGATTAGAAAAATTCTCGTACTTGGGCAATGCGAAAAACCACTTTTTAGATTATAAACTAAACTTTAATGAATTTCCTTTACTAGAAAAAATAAATCAGTACTTTTTTTTTAAAAAGCTAAGATTATTTTACATAAGATACTGATTTACAATCATTTTATTAGCTGGCCAGACACTAGAAAACTGGTTTGAAAAAAACATTTTTATTCTAAAACTGTTATTTGTTTGTTGATATATTTCATAATAATAATTAGGAAGATTTTAGAAACGTCTATTTTAAGATTTTCAGCATTTACTCGGAACTTGTGTTTGTGTAACTCTGTACTTTGTATATGAACAATTAAAAAAAAAAAAAAACACTGAAATAGTAATAATAGCTTTACTATTCTAGCGAATAACATTTTTTTAAAGGAAAGGATTTTTTTTTTAAAGTACAATATTGCTGTAATTTACTGAAATAAATTTACAATAGTTTTTTTCACGATAATGACATGATAATAAATTCTGTTTTACCTATGAATAAAAAAACTATTTTTTTTTATTTCAGAAAGGATCCAAAGGTGTCACAAGAATAGATGTCCAGTTTCTTTCAAAAACCAAAGTGATATATATCACTAAATCATAATAAACTTTTACTCATTCACAAATCTAAAACAAAAATCAGTGCAAACTAATCACAAAAAAAAAAATGGCTGGATTATAAAAAAACCAATCACAGTCTGAACAGTCAAAGTCAGTATGACCTTTGAATTTAAGAAAAATATCCTGAAAATATTGACTGGTCGACACCCAGTTTTGAATAAATAGTTTTAAATTTATTATTGTTTTGAAAAGCTACCCGTAAGTTGGTTATGGTTATATTGTTGTTGGTTTGGTTAAGTTATAATTTATATCAGCTTGTAACTAAAACACAGATTCGTCGATTGAAAATTACAAACCAATCATTATATTATTAGAACATATATGAACAAATAATAATTTCACTTGTATACCCAAATTGTTTATTCAATATGAGAGATTGGTCAGAATACATAAGCAGTACGAACAAGTAGATTAAAATAAAAAAGACTTTCCCAGACAAGTTGTTGGACAATAAAACATTTTTACAATATGATTATTATTATTATTAATGAATTAAAATGACAAATTATATTATAGTATTTAGTATATACAATACTCGATAATTGTCTTTACACAAATGATAAAATTTCAATGATATGATTATAAAACATTCATTACGTTTTAAAATGTTACAATTTTTTCGTAAGTTCTCAGTTTTTAGTATTATACATTGCGGATAGAAATTAAAGTAAAATCTAACCTATGTCTACATAATAATAATATATAATATCAATATTGAATTATTGAATTTAAATAAATTAAATTAAATTATTGTTTCATAATGAAATAATAAAATTATTAGAAATACGTAAAAAGGAATAATTCACACTTAATCTTCAGCTTCTTCAGATTCGCCGTTTTCGTCAGCAGATTCATCCTTCTCGGTTTTCTTGGAGGGTGGCCTGCCTCGACCTCTGCCAGTAGATTGAGGCTAAAATTGATTACGATAATATTAAATACAGTTCCAAATTGTTTTACTATTATAAAATTAATAGATTGTATCTTGCAATCTCAAAAACAAACAGTTTTACAAAATTGGTGCTTACTTTAGCCTTAGCTTTGCTCGTGCCCTTCTTTGGCCTTCCTCTTCCTCTTTTCGCTACTGGTTCTCCGTCGACATCAGACTTCTTTTCTGCTTTTACAGGAGATTTTCCTGCTGGACGGCCACGCTTCTTTACGTCTTTAACATCTTTGTCATTGGCCTATGGATATAAAACTCTTAATAATTTAATGTGTTCAAAGAGTAGAGAAAAAAAATTAATTTACATTTGGGCGCAACAATTTACCTCAACAGGTTTGGCGGGTCTTCCACGGCTCCTCTTTTCAGAGACAACTGCTCCATCGTCAGACATTTTGGATATTATGCTTTTTATTTGACGTTAAAATAAACTGAAAAATTTAAATCAAAGTTTACAATCATGTTCTCAACACGATACAAATGAATATAGGTTAAACATATAATTCAAAGTCAAACCAATGCTGTACCAAACGAATTTTCAATACCGTATATTAATCTGAAATATTAAATATATATATTCAGATATCAAATTTCAAAAGTAAATTTCGGAACCTAATTAAGTTCGGTATGTAAAAGCTGACAAATAACTGATGAAACATTCTTCATAAATCATACATAATAAGATTTTTTTAAATTAGTATTCATTAAGCATTTAAGGTCGTAAGGACGATTGGTAAATATTTTAAACGTTGGATTTTTAATGTTTGAACAACAAAAACGCGACCTTCGTCATTTCGGTTGTAATATACTTGTAAATAACACGAATTTATAAATGACTGGAAAACGCAGGAGTTCGGGCAAGAAATAATATTTTTCGACCCTTTTACTCATAGCCACTCAAACAACCCATTTGAAATGTATAAAAGGTACATAATAATATTATATTGTATACCTAACACCAAAGACAACCAACAGTATTTAAAACGGTATCCGCGGAATGCGGATATATTTTTATAATTAGATTAGATTAGATGGGGAAAAAAAATAAGAACGCCAGAAAATTACTCGACAGCGTTAAAAATATCGAAAAATTGTAATTTTTTTTTTTTATTCCGAATAAATAAAAAAAATATATCTGTAAAAACCATAAATATAGCGGCCGTACAGCCGGCGTTGGCGTTGGTCAAAGGCGGCGACGAAGCAGGTAAGTTTACATAAGCCTACTATAGTATAATACAATTTTCAACATGCCACCCCCCGGGAAAATCAATACGCACACGAGAACCGGCGACGCGGCGTGCATCATCGTGTACATATAATAAACATAATAGATTTCCTGCACAAGTTATAGGGGTGGAGGGGTGAAATGCTCGGGACGGCGTACCGCCAAGGGAAACGGTTAAAACGTTTGAAAGAAAAAAAAATTCCATTAAAAACAACCAAACAATCATTACGGAACGAGAGACGATTGAAAAATCCCAGAGGAGCGTGTACCGAGGAAACAAATAAGATTTACATAAAATATATTAAACGGCCATTTTGGTGGTGTACAGAAAGCGGCGGCGGCGGCGGCGATGATACCGAGGACGCCGGTGCGCGGGTAAAAAAAAAATATGTAAACAAACGCGACAAAGTATTATAGTATATTACGATCGGATAGGATTAGATATTTCCATGACGTGAACGTAATGTATTATTATATCGTCGTGCCGGCATTTAATTGCAGGTACACATTACGGTAAAAATCGATGAAAAAAAAAAAAAAAAAACAATAACAATTCGGGCGCCATAATTATGTGAAAATGCGCGCGAGCGCCCGCGCGGGACCCTACCGACGTTTGCCGGTATCGCGGGGGCCAAGCATTCGGGATAGTGTGTTATTGTAAATAATTATTTTGCGCGTATCGCTGTGAATCGCAGAATGCCCGTGTAATTTATGCAATCCGGCCGGAAACGTGCGCGTTATTTATTTATTTATTTTTTTTATAATAAATTCAACGCTTTAGTAATAAACGAAAATAAAACAAATTGTTGTATACCTTTGACAGGCGGCGGAGACGGCGGCAGTGATAGCGGCTTGCAGAGAGACGTCGGTGGTGATCAACGGACACGCGAATGGGTCAGACAAGTAAACATCACCCGACGAACGGCGGTTAAGCGAGACGACCCGCGGCGGGCCGGGCCGCGCGCAGTGTTGCCACTCGACCGTTTTCCCTCGGCTGGCATGCACTGCGCCCGTCGAAGAGTACCTCCAGGCTGCAGCTGCCGCCGCGTTCTGGAAGCCGACCGTTTGCACTGAAAAAAAAAAACAACAACAATAATAATGCCTACGGCCTGTAAACACCGCGATAATAATATCGTATATTATTAACATTTATTATATAACGGTCGTTCAAATTATTATAATCTCGTCCTTGCTCGTGCGGCGCGCGTCGCTAATGCACATTGCACCTCTTTGTGCGCGTTATGGGCTATGGCCATTGGCCGACCGTGTTATTATATGTGCCATATGGCGGCGAATTCGAATTTGTAACCGTCCAAGAACAATACACAATAGTTATAGGTCTTACAACAATGTATTATAATAATAATAATAATAATGTACACAATGCAACAATAATATTACACGCCCTTTACGCCAATACGTGTCGTGTTTTCGTCGGACGTTTAAAAAAAAAAGTTCCCATTCATTTTATTCAAATAAAGACTAAAACAAGAAGTCACTTTCTGGAGTGAACCGATTTCACAAAATAAAACATTTTTGTTTTTTTTGTTTAACATACTCTACGAGCGTTAAAAGGCAGATTTTTTTATTTCTGTTTTTTAAATTTGTATTATAAACGATTATATTTTTACTTTTTTTCCTAATAAATCTAACTAATTTTCTAATAACCAAATTAAAAAAAAATCGGCCTTTTCAGCCGCAATAGAGAAAATCGATAATGAAGGTATCAATATTGATAGAGAATGATAAAAATTGAAATCCGTCCAACAGACACGCCGGAAAATGACTTCTACATTTTTCATCAAACTTTCGCCATAACTCGGAGAAAATAACTTTAAAAAAGTCTCACAGCTAGAAAAAACTTAATATCATTTTACATAAAAATTGAGGCGGCGTACATAATAGATCAAATTTTCTCAGATATTGCCTATCCTTTGCCCCTTAATAAGTAGCGCTTAATCTAAGAACTATACGTTGGCTTCAAGTTGTTTATGCAAATTACGACGTACATAATTTTTGTTAATTAAACTTTAAATCACACGAGGAGATCGGTGGGAATAAAATGTTGTCGTTAAACCATTCCCAACTTTACCTAATGTACGAACAAGTCGACTGGCAAGCTATATCATGAGAGCTTTGGGTTCTTGACAGTGGAATATAATACTCGAGCCAGTCGACTTCTTAGTTATTACTCGATGCTATTACTGATGATAAAATTACATTTTTTTTTATATCATAATAAAACAAAAAATGTCATACGCACGTTGATAAAGTAGGTACAGTGGCCTATTGTCAGTTTATCCCTTGTGGATTAACAAACTGTTTTGTGTAGTAAACGGCCCCAAAGGGTGCGGATGATGTAACAATGATAATAATATATATATATATGTTATAAGGGGTCGAGAAACGTTATAAAATGCATTATGCTTTTATGCGTTTTTAGCAGCCATTTATATTTTAACAACCAATAAAAAACCGTTAAACTGGTATTCGCAGAGATATTATTTTAACGAACTTGAACTTTCGTTCAGTATACAAAATTATAGCTTTAGCTTAGCCGCATGTTTAAAATATATAATTTAACCTATACATACAATATAATGTACAGCTTGAATGTGCGAACAAATAACGTGAGAGGCGGCTGCAAATGCTTCAATTCTTAAATATTATTACAACTATTATTGTTTTCCAATAACACGATTTTGGGCCAAAAACTGAAATAAATCATTGAAATATACTCGCGATGTACCTATTTTTGGTCGAAAACAACTCATTCTAATTCAAACGTAGGTACTGTTCCTAAGAATACTACAATAATTTGAGTTTTGAAAAAATATTTGAATTTTTCAAAACATTTTCAAAGCATCGGTGTCGCGGCACAATTTTAAAATTATTTTTAGTTAATTAATCATTTCGGTTTAAAAAAGTTAAAAATTGCATTTTATCACATTTTTTGTAGTGAAAGGGAAAAAACCTGAGCTTCAGACCTAAAATTAAGGTGGGTGATAAATTGAACTACCGTTCAAATTTGTATAGTAAAATAATTTAAAGTGAAAAAGGAAATCACGTTCCACCCCACTGTTCATTTTTTTTTTGTGTTGAAAGGGAAACATCTGAGCTTCAGACCTTCATAATAATGTGTAAAAGGAGGGAACTCAACCTTTGTTTTATCATTTATATACGGCTCAAACCATAGTTTTTATCATCAGTTCATACAGCCTTCTTATCCATGTTAATGTTAAAAGTATTTTGAACAATTCGATATTTTTTCGTTTTTCAATGCTAACATTTTTAATTTTTTTTTTATTGTCGTCATCAAAGAATTGAAAAGTTCAAATTTTTTGAACCATTCGATTTATTTTGATGTACAGTGCATATAAAAAATATAATATTGTTAAGTCGGAAACAAAAAATGAGAGTTCATTATTAATTTTTTCTTTCTGGCTTGCAGTGCTAAACTAAGCATATTTTTTTTAAAAAGTCGTTACTATTTTATATTGGTATTCAGTGCTGATAAAACAAAATATATATATATATATTCTAGGTTATAGGCTTCTAGGGAAAAAATATTAAGTCATCGGTCTTTAAAAGTTTTTACAACGGTGTGTTATAGTGAAATTTCAATTTCAACTTTTGTGGTTTCAAACGGTGTATTGACTTGTGCCTGCGAGTGCTCAACATTCCACCCACAAATTACAGATAAGGATTAGGATATTATTTTTAGATATTTTGTCATGGTACATGACGAAATATTTTATACATATTAATTGTACATGACTCATGTACAATGTATAACAAAATACTATTTAAACGAGCGGCATTGTCAGGGCATTGCAATTTTTACTGAATTGTCAAAATGATTGACATTTTTTCCTTATTTCCCTTTTTGAAGCAAAGTTTTGGGCCTTAAGGTCTGAAAATCAAACTGGCCCTTAAAAATCGATTTCCTTTTTTCCCCTAAATCGGTTCTAATGCTTAAGACCATTCCGTTAATATTATAACCCATGCCTTCAACGTTGGTTTTTTTTTAAAAAAAAAAGGTAAACTTTTCGCTACAACTTTTTTGTTAGTCAATCTACAATAATTATGAAAGTATAACCTCTAAATAAAATATTCTAAGAGGATTAAAATAATGGTGTCTTATTATTGGTCACTTAAAAATGCTCACTAACACTATAATGTTCATTACAAGTAAACAGTTACCATAACACAGTAACAAAATGTTTTTTTGAAATTGCCTATATAATACTCCTTAATAAATGCTGGTGTAGAGGCCTCTTAAGTAGGTACATTTGAGAAAGCAAAAGTCGTACCTACGTTTCACAATTACCATACCTAATTGGTTAGTTACTAATTTAACAGATAATTGTCTACAATTTCCATCCGGGGACCGGGTTTCACTATATTATAAACTTCAGTAAAGATAACAATACAACATTTCTTATTTACCTACACATTTGCTTTCACGATTCAATCATTATTTCAGTGGTACTTATATTTTAGAAAAAAAACGGCTAGAAATACACGCATTTTCTCTGGCCTTAAAAGGTTTAACTATTGTATTTATTTAAAATTTGACATGTTATGTGTACAGCTTGCCAACTACCAAAAAATATCCGTATTGAAATTTTAGCATTTAAGGTAAACGATTTTTATAATATTTAGGCCGCGCTTAGGTAGGTATACGTTATTTTAATAATCCGGTCCTGCTTGCTACTCGTTTCTTATTTTGTAAAAATAATATATTAAAATAAAAATGTCCTCCTTTTTATTCATTTAGAATAAGATATCGAACAATTACTAAATGAGTATATTTAAAAACACAAATAAATAGTATGAAAATAGGCATGACATAAAGTCATGCCTAAATAAGTTGAATTTAGGTCATTCCTTCACCAAGCCTCCGTGGCGCAATTGGCTAGCGCGTTCGGCTGTTAACCGAAAGGTTGGTGGTTCGAGCCCACCCGGGGGCGTTGATTTTTTGCAATTTTTAACATTTTTTTTTTATTAATTATTACATAACCTAGTAAATGTATATAATTGCTATATTTTGACAATTGCAAATTGCAATCGAAACGTCCATACTAAATAAATGTGCCTTGAACTTGTTTTGGACTATTTAATTTTTAAAAAACGCCCCTATTGCAAACTTATTATTTTTATTAACTTTTTCTTCCGCAACAGACGGTTAGATATTAAGCAATTCATTGGCTATGTTTTTTCATGTAGACAATCAAACCTATTAAAAACGAAAATATCTCATCTTGAGATGTGCATTTTGTTATCTCTTAAAAAGTTAAGTCATAGATTCTATTAACTATTAATTCACTCAGAGCAAGATTTTATAGCTAAATATTTGAGAAAAATTAAGCTCCTCAACATCCTTGACAAATTAAAAAATAAGGGGCTAAGCCCCATTGAATATGCCTTTAATTATTCCTTAATGTATACTTAATTATAACTATTACAAATAATAATCTGAAAATGAGTGGAAATGTATCAATTTTCAGTACAATTTATAACTACGAGTTATCTCGTAGGTTGGTAGTCAACGTGTTAAATTCATTTTTACATTGCATAATAATATAGTATACATCTGTATGTACGTACATTGGTAAGCACACCTGCTAAGAAAAAGTACCGTAACTAAAATAAAAAAAATTGTACACATTTTCTAACTCATGTTTTTCGAGATACGGCACTTTTGCTTAGCAGAGCAGTATATCTGTAGATATTTTTTTCTAAAACGTTAGAAAACAAATTTGATTTGCGAAATTTTCTAACTTATCTATTAGTATAGTTTAAATGATAATCTAATACACCTTTCAAAATGATATGTAAATACAACGACTGAACTTAAAAACGTTTTACATTTTAGTAATATTTATTTATAAAATAAATATATTGTTAACAAATAAATAATTGTTTTATTTGTTTAAAAATTAGCTTCAAAAATAAACAAATGAATAACATTTTTTTCAAATACTTTTTCGGTCACGTTTAAACCATACGTATTATCAATTGACAATAACAACTAAATTTACAAGCACCAATTAGGTAAATAAATTGTCCAATCCGTCCATTTCAGAGCCGTCGTTCTCGGTTTGTCCTGCGTCGTCTTTTTCTGCTGCTAGACTTTCGTAATACGCGCCACTCGTTCCACCAGCTCCTTTACCCAAGGTCCTATTGCTTGGAAGTACGTCTTTGATATCAAATTGTTCTTCTAAAAACGATACAACGTCCTCGGCATTTCTAAGACTGTTGAAATGATTGCGTGTTTTTTTACAGAGTAAATGTTCACACATAAACACTAAATGATGATGGAACCACAAGAAGTTGGTGTGATGTATGTTCAACCAGTTTTGAATAGCCGAGACTGGCGTAATTTCGTAGCCGGCAAACAGACCAGGATTGTGCAAAATACCCCTCGCACTCATTATACCTAATCGACAAAATCATTAACATATTATACACTTTGAAAATAGAAAAAAAAATGATATAATTTTATAAACATTGCTATACACCTTTACAACCGGTATATTCGTGCATGGCAACTGCACTAGACATGTTTTTTACATCGCCGTTGAAAATAACCGGGACGTCGGTCGATTCGTTAATGAGTTTTATACAATCCAGATTTACCGGATCGTTTTTTTGCTGAGGAGTACGTCCGTGAACTGTTATGAAAGATACGCCAGCAGCTTCTATTTGTCGACAAAGGTCTACACTTTTTCTAAAAAAAAAAAACTTATATGTTAAGGTTAGGGGTTATAGGAATTTAAAATTATTTTTAAAACTGTTGTTTGTTTGACATTAAAATACCAAGTTTTTACACTATATTTAATGAAAATTTTAAATAAATTTAAAACCAAAATATGACGTCTGGGTCAAGTTATCTGCTTTATTGTTGAGCGCTCTCTTACAAATAGTGCCTTGCGGTCACCGTCAGTATTACATAGTGGTTTATTTAATAAATTTAATGAAAACAAATGATTAATTTAATAGTTTATCTAGTGCTTAATCGAAGCTTGTTTTTTCAAAATAAGTAAAATGGCGGCCTCTGAAAGTTTATGTTCAAATTTTAAGAGAAAAAACGCTTATTTATCATCTAATATGAAATCCTTCTACAATTGTGTATGCGACCGTCATTGTTTATAAAATAAAAAGTATTTATCTAAAAAAAGAAATCCTTGATAATGGACTAGTTTTTTATGCTGTTAACATTTCATAAAATATAATAAATTTCAAAACTAATATATTTTAAGAAGATATTAACTAATAACCCCTAAACAAAAATTAGTACTAACCTACTAAAACATTTATTATGAACATAGCTAGTTTTTATCGATAAAAATTATTATAACTACCAAAAATCACTACTATTATTGCAAAAATGTAATTAAAAACACAATTACTTTTGATTGATAAAAAAATCAAACACATTATTCTTGTTATACGAAAACCAAAGACAAATTCCAAACTGAACATTGCATTGTGTAACTTTATAGGTAATTTGTATTATACAATGTCATACTAATCGATATTAATATTCAGTAGTAGTCAGGCTAATGGTTATGATAATGTAAACATTTATTAGCTGAATTTCCAACACGGTCCAATATTTCTCGGACTACCAGTGCTGTAGTTGATGATTGCACTATTTCATTACCGACACTATTGGTTGAACTGGCAGCGACATCCAGACAACATGTTTATCGTTACAGAGATAGAAAGGAAAACACATGGATATAGCTCAATAGCAATTAACAAAGATTCGCAAAGCCCTAAATGGATAAATCAATGGGAAAATATAATATAACTAAATTATTGTAAAACTCATTGCTAAGAATGAAAAATAGCGTTTTCGTAAAAGAAATTTAAGTGTATTAAAAATGTTCAAATAAAGTGGGAATGTTTAAATTGGTTAGATAACAGTCAGATATGAATACATTGATTGAAATAGAATTATTAAAATATAAATTCTTATATTTACATTGGACTAAAGCATTTATACATTATAATTAATATTATTTAGAGTGCATTACAATACAATTTGTTTTCTTTGTCTATCACATGTTTTATGTACCATAATAATTGAGTAAAATACTTTCAATAAAAAAACTTGCTGAGGTTAGACTTAATTATAATTTTGCAAAAAGAAATGTTCAAATTTATAAAATTAAAACAGGTAAAAATTTTGGAATGTATTTTCTAGGTACTTATCATAAAAACATAATAAATTCAAAGACAACAAATTTAGCTGTGACACTCTTTCTAGTTTTTTTAATTTTTTAGTACCTGCCTATTATCGTTTAGCAATCTTAATTTTACGGATATAGTCTTATTCATAGGAATACGGTTTCGTAACTGGCCTACACAATCCTTGATAATTTCAGGATTTTTCAACAAATTTGCTCCATATCCTTCTTGTAATGCCCACTTTTGCGGGCATCCACAATTTAAGTCAACTCCATCACACTGCCTGCACATAATAACAAAAATACAGATTTTGATTAATATGTTTGTTATCATTTTAATATAAATGAAAAATAATGACAAAGAACATACGAAATAATCATCTCTGACGCATCGACAAAATCAGACGAGTTGTTAGCACCGAACTGCACAATTAATGGACTATCGCCTAGAGAAATTTATTCCTTAATCAAAATAATAATATTGTTATATAATATTAGATAGAATAAATAGAATATACTATTACAGACCATCGTCAGTTTGAAATTCATGTGCTCTGGCTTTTGGAGACTTAATATAAGAATCGGCCATTATCATTGGAGTGAAACATAAATCACACTCGTACATACGAACTAGTTTTCGGTACTGGAGTCTAAAAAATATAAAATTAAATACACACAAACTTTGATGTAATATAGTTAACAATGCGGTTTTTTTATTAAAAAAAAAGACAAAATTATATCATAATATTCAAATGAAAAAAAGTCTTACCGGCTATAGCGTACCATGGGAGCACAAACATTGATAAATTTGCGTTCGGGATCGTCGAACAATTCTAATATGGGATTGATCATTTTAACTTTTTAATAAAGATACCATAATTTAATTTAATTTCTAATTAAAATGTACTAAAACAACAAGATGAACGAGTTAAGTTGTTTATCTCGAGTTTGTTCGTTACATTGTAATCATAATTAATTTGTAAAAAGATATTATCACAGAATAATCAGAAGAGAAGCCTAGGCCGGAACTGATAAGTGTTCTCCGACATTTTGTTTTTGCGGGTTTCCCTTCTGGTTATTGTGTGATATTGATAAAAACAATAATCTAGTCTGTGGACATAATAAAAGAAACATAATATTATGCATCAAAATATTTGTTAAACAAACATTTATAAATTTAATAATTTGTGTAAAATGCTAAAATCAAGAAGGAATAATATAAAAATTAGAATTAAAAATTATATCGTTAATCGCACCTATTACCGTTTACAAAGATGATTGAAAAGAAAATGGCAAAATTATAATGATATGTTAGGTATCTTATTTATCTATTCGTTTTATAAATCTATTTTGTATGATACAAAAAATAAAATAAAATCAGGTATTAAAAATTATACAATAATGATGGAATGTTTAAATTTTATCCATATTGTTTTTATGTTACCCAATTTATATACCATGGTCATGAACATAACATTATTTTTGATGACTTGCGATAAATTGAAATACCTGCTGTCGTCGTACTAGGTTTAAAATTGTATTTTGTGCTAAATTTAGCAAGCCAACAACTTCAAGGAAATCATTTAAAGGTAGGTGTAATTATTATTTATTAAACTATTATTTTAGTCTTCAACAATAGCTATTATTTTCTGGTCAATAATTGTTACTAAACATAGTTAAGATCGCTATTAATAATAATACATAATAATAATAATAATTAATAATTATTATTAAAGATGATATTATGTGTATGAATATTAACTTAATATAATATAGTGATTAATGAAAAGTAGTAAAATGTAGTAGTCCACAGAGATAAATATTGACAGTAGATAATTACTATTGGTAACTTATCTTGTACATTCTCTGAGAGTTTTTTTGACCTAATTAAAAACCATAATTATTATTATTCGATACACGGCTGAGAAAAAATTGATTTTACAATGTGCGCTTTTTTTGTGTCTGTATCCACTTTACCTTTTGAACTCTGGGCCAATTTCTTCGAGTAGCAACAAAGACCTATTTTGAAATGTATGTTATCTATTGAGATTTTAGATTACTTAAATTAGTACTGGCATCTAGTTTTATCTAGAAAATAAAATGTACTACTTATGAAAGACATTCCAAAGTATTAATAAATGTTTGGAATTTGATTTTTACCGACACTTAATGGGGAAAGCGTTTGGCTTATTGTTATAACCACACTGTAAAATATTAACACATTTCCAACATTCCAATTTAATTTAATATTTTTTAATATAATTTACAATTTTTAAGACAGATCGTGCTAGATTTCTGTACTGGACATGTTGCCTAGACGAAGTAAATATTTTAAAAAAGAGGTCGAGAGCAAATATTTTACGAAAAAATTGTTAAAAAGACCTGAAAAAAAGGAACCGAATAAAAGAGTAAGTTTTTATTGAGACATTGAGGTAAATTAAGATTAACAATCCAATTAATGATATCAATTTACCCAAACTACGCCTGTCTCTCACTCATGTATAATGTAAATCGTTTGATTCCAATGGCGCCCAAAATATATTTTTTGAGTGTAGCACACCAATCCTTCACAAAGCCCATTCCAATGTCAAAAATTATTATTCTATACACCTTATAATATTAGCAACCGAATAAATCCTTAAAAAAAAAAAAACTAATTTGCGATTATTTGAGATAGGTCAGCTATTATTTTACCATATTATCATTCTAATCATTTAAAATATCAAAAAAAAAATATATATATAAAGAATGGTTTAAATGACAAATTTCTACAACATTATTGCAGTTTAAATACAATTTAAAAAAAATGAAGTTTTTGCTTGAAACTTAAAATTTAAGTCCGATCGACAATTTTTTTACTGCATTGTTGTTTGTAGCATAAAAAATTCGATTTTCCCCAAACAAAATAAATAAAGACATTTTTTTTTTGTCTATGTTATAATTTTTTCATTACAATATTCTATCTTTCAGAATTTACGGTACTTTTTAATTTATTACATTTTTCTCTTAACTATTTTCTTAATTTTCTTAACTATTATACAATTTTATTAACTATCTTACAATTTTATTATATTACATTGATGTTTTTAAATACTGTACGATTAGCACGGGCATTTAGAACAGTCTTCAAGTGATGGCAGTGCTGGAGACTGTAAGCCACAGCGAAAATCAGAACTTCTGGTAAGTAATTATGAGTAACAAGTCACGACAAACTATTGTACCTAATAATTATTAAAATGTGTTTTCCTCTGCAAGTACAGCTGAACATTGAACGCTACAATGAAATCCATCCATCGCACCATGTCGTAAACAAGCGTCTTATTGTAAGTTTTTTTTTTAAATTTATTTTTCAATTACAGGCATTTTTTTGTTACTCTATAAACGACTCTTCACACAACCTCCTAACCTAATGTTCTCACAAATGTTATTCAGGGTAGAAGAGGCCTGTTTCCGTATGGCATCCGAACAAATATTTGCGAACGAAGTTAGTATAATATATTTTGCTTGTGCAGACATATACGTAGAAATATATTTTCCGTATAATTCGATAAACTATTGACTTACAGAAAATTTAGATCCGGTTTACAAAGCAAATGCCGTGCAAAACATAGAAAACATTATTTCTTCTGTCAAGTCGAAGTCGCCTGAAACTCGAGTGAAGTTTGGTACACCGAATGCTGCATCTACAGGCAGGCGCTGGTTGTGTAAAAACACTGCAATGTGAGTTTAAGAGGGTACTTGGACCACTGGCCCCCCCACACAAATAATTTACTTACTTATCTCTTCTAGATCTCCAATAGATAAAGTTGAGCTAACCTACAATAATAACAATGGCAATGGCAATCAAAAAACGACGTGGAATCCCATCCGAATGTAATTGGTTTATTAGCCGCTTGCAACAAGTAATAACTGCTTTATTGTTATTTATTATAAAGCGATGAATTGTAATATATATATCGGATCAGCGGTTTAGAAGATAATATCGTTCTAACTTAACCTTTGAGTAGAGAGAATTTCATGTTCATAAATAAATTGTAATGGCAAAGTATGTACATACAGGGTGATTCATTAAGGACAAGAAACTCAATCTCTCCAAAATAATGGCAATTTTGTTGTTTTTCTTTTTTGGAAACACTTTAGTTTTTAAAAATTATTATTTAAAATTGGTTGGCGGCCAGTCAAAATGTTCAGAAAATAATTTTTAAATAAAAAAATCGATTATTATTAAAAAGTTAATTCAATTGTTTCAAGAAGAAATGAGTGCCTTAACCCTAATGCGAATTACCCTGTATACATATATGTGTAAATAGTTTTCCACTTGAGGCGGTATCTAGCATTTAGTACTCTTTTGTATTTTAGTACCTACGTTATGAAATATGTAAATTTTGTTGTAGAAATCCAATTATTCGCATTTCTAAAAAAATGCCAGAATTGATAACGTCCAATGTTCTTAAGAGCCAAGTACAAGCTTTGAAAAGCACATTGTTGACGGACCAACAACCGAAAACAAGCCACGGAACAGTTGCCAATAAAAGTCCCGAGTTCGATGAAATGTGCAACATGTACGTTGAGTTTGTCGATTCGATTTGCGAAGTCGTGTCTAGTGCACACGATAAGATATCTCCCAATGACGGTAATTTCATTGGTTAGGGTTTTCAGCTTTTGTATTTCAATTTTCGATTGAGTTTTTTCAGATTCCACAGCCGAGTTGTACAAACGACTTCGGAGTACCATTGTAAATTCGTAAGTCTTGAAGTCTGAAATTGCCTGAAATCCGAATCGCACTTAAGTACATGTATTTTTCAGACGACGTTCCTCTCCTAGAAAACAACTGCGACCAACCGAGACTTTGGATGCGAATGATAAAACGACAAATTCAATTAGCAATTGTTTTTCGGCACCGAATTCTGCAAACGAAGATTTTGTTTTCAAACCAGTGTTGATGTCGTCCAAAGCACCGGGTTTGTATCTATATTTTAATAATGTACAGCAGGATTGGTATTGTTTAAAATACGTGCAATGGATTTTTCTTAGCTGAAGCAACGCCGGCACATGTTTTGATGGACAGTTTCGAGTTACCAATTGAAGAAAATACTAATACTAATAACAATGATAATAATTGTGCGCCAACCAAGGCTGACGATTCGTTAAACTTCAGCAAACTGAGCGAGATGGAAGTAGACGAATTTTCGTCACCAGAATCATCACGTTTGAACAAAAAGCGACCAGCTAACAACCGCAACCGTAGACGGGTGTCGTTCCTGGACTCTTCTTCGGGCCAACTAAACCAAGTACAATATCATAGATTTAAATAAGTAAGTGAGGTCGTTTAACTTAAAAATGTCAATCTACAGTATACTCTGTTTTTCGACATTCCTGAAAAATTTGATTTCAAAATTTAGCCTGGACCTACCGGGTACTTAATTCCTTAAATATGTAGACCAAATCAATAAACAAATTGTTAGGTTTGCGTTTTTAATTTTCATCGATCTCTTCGTTTAATTTAAGATCAATATATTCGCTCTACTGTTACAACAGTAACATAATGTGCAACAGTATCCCATTAAATAATAATAATAATGTCGACCCCGTCGATAACACTGTCACCGTCGCTGTGTTTGAATAGGTAGATAAGGCCCGCTTGTCTATCATTATCACAAGACATTTCATTGTGTCTGGTGTCATTATTGGTGTTCTCGACATAAATATGGGCTACTGGTATTACTGGAAAACCGAACAAATATTATGATAATTAGAAGGGGAAATGTCATTCCATTGCTAACGACCAGCTTAATGAAAATTAAAAATTCAACCGCTATTTTTTTTTAAATTTGTTGTCTAAATATTAATGGAATTAATACTTAGACTTTTTTTGGGAAAAATTATTTTTTAAATATTCATATTTTCTGAGAAAACGACTGTCTTACATCAGATGAATCACCCTGTATATAAGTTTATTATCAGTTTTCTACTAGACGATTGCAACGATGACTAAATTGCTAATTCCTGCTAGAACCCCTCAGCCCTAAAACACATACATTATTTAATACCATGTTATATTTTAAGAAAATTATATTGGCCATTCAGTTAAGATAAGTTAATTTTTTTTAAAAATCGTTAAGCGATTATGAACATAATACAAATAGTTTCAATAATACTCTTCACACTTTATTTGTAGTATGACTTCGGGTTTTGCGAACGAGACGTAGTATCGATAACACTATCTATAGAGATTAACAAAAAAATCACTACCTACTAGTAAATCATTATTGTTTACGATTTCTCGTCAATATGTAAACATACATTGGTCTAATTGCATAACAGATGGTACATTAACTACACTGTGTTCAGAAGGAAATGATAAATAATTTTATAGCTAATATTTAGGCCGATTTTACTCGATGAAACAGTTAAGCGCGTATCACTATTTTATTAACTCTGTAGACAACAAAGCCGTCATAAACCTTTGTAAAATTGGTTTAGAATTTGTTGAATTTTACCCCTCGCGTAGGATTTACGTGTCTAAACGAGCTAAGATATAGTTTGGGAAACTATTTGATTGTTAAAAATGCTTTGTAGGTAGATAAATACGACGACGGCGGATGGACTTCCGAAGACAGTTTTCGATGCTCGAACAAGAAATGTTTTAAAATGTAATAATAATAATTCATGTTGCTCGATACTGCTGATGTATTGTGTACCACCTACCTAACTAATAGTAATATTTTGTTTGTATAATACCGATTGAAATTCTAAAATAGCGTGTATATTTATTTTCAATTCAATAAAATAATATTTTATCAGTAATATTATATACGTGGACTTTTGATTTGTCGTTTTTGTTTATCGCCGGTGTTCCGGTGTCGGCGATAATGTCTCCTAACAATAACACAACGCATTATATTATTCAATAGTAGAATAGTGTAAAATATTAACAGTCTGATGATGAGCTACTCTGTGTAGCAATAATGTTATCGTAGAAATTAGGATAGCGCCAAAGTCTATAGACACATTTTGACGACCGCACTCCGAAGGACGTTTCAGTGTTAGTTGTAGATTTTTTCTTTACCATGTTCGTTTTGGAAATTTTCCTCGTGGTCTTCATCGCCAGTTTGGCCGACGGTAATGATTTTACAACACACATTACTCACTAATGGATTAACGGTATAATTTTTGTACTTTTTCTTTTACAGCCTCCGTCTTCACCGATGGTGTGTTCCTCGGCCAGAGAAGTCGCTGTCCTCCGTTGCGTGTACCCAATGGCCGTTTAAGAGCCCGTTCGGGCAATCGAGTGGTCCGAATCACTTGTCTGTTTCCGTACAAACTAGTGCAAGGCAATGATTATGCCACTTGCATCGGTGGCGAATGGGACACTCCACCGCCGATATGTGCCAGTATGTACCTACCGCCAGTATTAACTTGCCTAAATATAATGTTACACTTGATTTGATACAAGACACGAAATCAATAATTAATGCAAACTATAGCGCGCATTTACTTCTTGATAATACATTTGTAAGTCATTATAAAAAATTACATTTTTTTATTTTACAGCGGTAATTAAGATTTGAAACCACAGGCGCAACTAGACCTACATTTTAGGGGTAGCTAAAATTACATACACCTGACTAAACATAATTCTTATCTTCAAACCTTTAGAAGATATAAAATAATATATTTGAAAACAAAAATATTCTAAAACAAATAATGTGTACATTGGGGTATACATTTTTGGGGGTTCTAATTTTGAGTCTGGGGGTGCTAAGTCCCCCTTGCACTCCTCTAGTTGCGCCTATGTTTGAAACCAAGATTGAGACTTATTAATAATTTTAGTACATTTTGCTCATCTCTGCTACACAAGTAAAACATCATTGACTGTTAGTGCTATACAAATAAAACCATAAGAGTATTAAAAAAAAAAAATGAACTTGAATAAATACTATTTATTTAAGATATAGTTTTTATTTACTACATCAGATATGACTTAAATTTCTATTTCCAAATGAAACATCATTTTAAATAATTTAAAAAAAAAAAACAATATTCATTTCATAAATTATAATTATTCATAACAATATATTGATTACATTTTAAGTGAAATTTACATTTTATTATTTTATGTATCCGGTCGATCGTCAGCACCTTGGTGCAATAAAGAGTTAGTACTAAGAAGGACAACTTTGTATTGTCTACATAGAGTATCGCGATTATCTAACAAAATTTTACATTATAAGATGTAGCTTTGTTTTTGCTGTTGTCGGTTTACCAAAAAAAGGTACTTGTCCTGCTCCATGGGTTCCACGTTTGTTAGATTTCAATAATTTTAGATATATAAAAATGGCTATCAACAATTCTAAATTTTCAGCAAATTATTGTAAATTTAAAAAATCACTAAAATATTTACGTTACCATTTAAATAGTTAAAGTTCATAAGGCTTAAGTACATAAAGAATAGGGTTATATTTTAAAAAAATTAATTAAAGCTAGGTGAGCTAGGCTTATTCAAGACTGGAAACTTTGTCTCTACGCATATTACATTACCACACTACACCTTCCGACAAAAATCTTAAACAACTTAAATAACTTTAAAGGTAAATATCCAAAACTGGTTTTTAAATAGTCAAAATGTCCCGCAAATAATTCTTAATAAAATGGCTATCCTAAATTAAAAAAAAAGAATTAAAAAAAGTAAAACAGCGTTACTAGCATTACAAACTGTGGTGTTTATATATTTTGTATCCTTAACCCAAAGATTCAGGATTACTGGAGTAAATTTAGTCCATTTTTTTTTTATTAATCCCTTTGTAATCAATTACGGACTGTAATCCATTTTGCCCATCTCTGTGTGTATTAGGGCCAGGGTGTGCTATCCCGGAAGGTATCGATCACGGAAGGATCAACATTTTGGAGTCGGGAGCCAGACTAGATCTCGAATGCGACGTTGGATACGCTCTAGATGGTCCTAGTTCCGTGTACTGTACAAAAGACAAAGAATGGAATGAAGAGTTATATGATTGCAAAGGTAAAGTAGTAACTAAATTATCTTAAGCTTCGATGCAGAGTCACCGATTTTACAATGACAAATTTATTGATCAGAAATTGTACCTAAAGGGTACTTTATTGGGCTAAAAATGGAAAAAAAGTCACCTCTTCCTCTTCAAATTCGAAAAAAATACAAAAAAAAGTACATATTTTTCAACTTAAAATTAAAATGCTCTATAGCTTTTTTTTAAAAATATTCTTATTAGGTTTCAAATTTGTATGGAATATTCTTTAAAGTTTAAACATAGTACTACCGATAAACATTGACAAACCAAAATTATATCATAAACCTTTTTCTCTACAAAGGATAGACATTCGTCATATATCAATTTTTCAAGCAAAGTTTTAGGGATTTAGATTTGAAAATTGGACTGAAGATAGATCTAGAATGGAACTATATTTATAAAATTGTATAGTTTCTCATAAAGTTGTAGTTCGACTTAAGGAAAAACCGAAAAAGGGGAATACTTATTACACTTTGACCGTAGTCAATTTCCAGGTTGCCATGTGTGAGTGAATCAACAGTCAACAAACTATGGCACGATCAACCCTAGTCGTATCCACCCTAATAGTAAATATTAATTTTTATGCACATAATTGTCCTATTAGGTACAAATGCTTTTATCGATATTTGTATAATTAACTGTTACTTCAATTTGTTTGATAATGTGTTTTTAGAGTGATACGATCTTGGTACGACCCGTCTATAAATAAATTTGATATATTTTTTTTCTAGCTCACGATCATATTTATGTATCGTGTGATTTTGAATCGGCCGACGAACGATTTTGTGGATGGAAAAACGATATGTATAACGACATCGATTGGTTAGCTGACAAAGTAAAACTGTTATTGTTTTCGTCCAACCGACATGTACCGCCGGGTTCTTCTCAATATTTTTCAGGTATTTTTCACAGCTATGACGTGTACTGGAATTGTACTTTCAGTGATAAAAACCCCAATTATATTCTAATAATAATGTCTGTAGGGAGCTACATATCGTTGGACGCTGGTCGTCTGAGCCCTTCTAGTTCGGGCAAACTACTGTCCCCTCAACTTCCTCCGACTAAAAACAAACAAAGATGTGTCACGTTTTCGTACAAAATTGTCGTCGACGAAGGTCGTACACGGCCTTCGCTAATTGTTTCATACGGTGGAATTCCCCATTGGTCGAAAATCAGAGGAGAAGGAAGAGCGTCAATTGGACTGTACCGGGTCGATTTCGCAGCGAAGGTGCGCGCTTACTTTGAAAATCCAACAGGCGAATAATATTAGCTAAATTAATTGTCAACGGTGTGTTTAGATAACAATCGAAGGAAAGGGCTGCATGGCGGCGATCGACAATATGGTCATAACGGAAGGCGACAGTTGTTTGATAAAAGACGGAGGCGGTAGGTAACCGATTTTACTATACCATAAACTATCTGTTAAGCTAGCACGGTTCCCCACGATCAGAGTGTTTTTGCAGATTACGAAACGTGCGAAGATAATTGCGGCAAAGCCGCATATGGAAACGGCTGTTCGTGCAATTGGGAATGCCACCAAAATTCCAACTGTTGTCCGGACATCGGAGACCATTGTCCATACAGTATGTCAATTTGAGTCTCGATTTATGCGTTTGAATCAACACGTTTAATTACCATGATGTTGTGTTGTTCCCAATAGTTAAAACGCCCGAGGAAATCTCCGTGATGTATACCACTACTACTACGCACAAGCCTATTGTCAAAAAAAAACCAGTGACACCTATTGCCGCCCTAAAATCGACCAATGCGGCCACGCCAATTCCTACTTCCAACGTTACATACCCTCAGTTTCCATCGACTATACCTACATTAGAACCGACAGCGGAACCGATTACAATAACCGTAACGGTCCCTACCACGACCACCACCACGACTCCTAAACCTACCACGAGTTCAACGACAACACCATCCCTACCACGACTACCACGACTACCACGACTACCACGACTCCTAAGCCTACTACGAGTTCAACTACAACACCATCCCCTACCACGACTACCACGACTACCACAACTCCTAAACCTACTACGAGTTCAACTACAACACCATCCCCTACCACGACCAGTACAACTACCACAACTCCTAAGCCTACTACAAGTGCTACGACAACACCGCCCCCGACCACGACTAGTACAACTACTATGCCTTCGATAATTAACACTACAGTTGTGATTAAATCGACAAAACCAGAGATGACCAAACCGAATATTTCACATATCAAATATCTCGATGTTACTTCTGGACCGAACAAAACAGTAATAGTTATCGATATAACTTCTACTGAAACCCCTAGTCCTCGAATGAATAGAATTTCCAAAAATAACAACACAAATATTCCTTTTTTGTTTAACGTCAGTGATACTATGCATCGTAAAAACAAACATAATGTCTCAACACAAAAATCTCAAACCGACAATGCTGGCCCAGAAACTAAAACAGAATTCAGTTACATACTATTTAATAAACGTATGGACGCAGCAGATCAATGGGTTGCCCCGCAAGTGAAACAATATAACGGTTAGTTTGAGTTTTTAGTGTTTGAAATGCTAAACACGAGTAGATTATTGTAATTCTTATTATTATTATTATTTTTTTTTTTGCAGATCAACATAATACCAAGAGTTCCACGTTTAATACATCTTTCATTTTCATATGTATAGCACTTGGTATTGGACTAGTAACGTTAATGTACACAATTTATTTCGGGAAACTTTGTTTCAAGAAGTCTTTTAAGTACAGGGTAGACAACAATTTGGACCAATCGGACGGAGACACTGCTTCAAATTTGGAATTAATCACTAACGATGAGTTGTAAATTAAATGCATAAGTATAATGATTTATACGTATTTCCGTAACAGTTACATGTTTTTGTATATTAAAATATATTATGTTAAATTAATTATATATTAATATACATATGATATTAATGTTATAATAATATGATCTTGTTATTATTATTATTAGCACAACTATAATTCAAATTAGCCTAAAAATATGTCACAACAGCGAAGCAGATGTCAACATTTTTTTATAATGCAAACATTGGCACTGAGCTAACACCCTTTATTTATTGGCGAATCCAATTTTTTATAAGTAATCTAGTTGTTACTTTGTGTTTCATTTTAATTAGATTCTGTACTTCTGAATGTTGTTGTTGATTTGAGTGAATATGTTTTTTTTTTAAATTTGTGCTAAGATAACGGAAACTGTTTTTCATACACCTGCGGTGTTTGTTAAGCAGTTATTTATTTTATATATTTCACTATCAACATTATTATTCATAAAAAAAATTACACTCAGCCTAATATTACAAGCCTCTTATAAAAAAGTTGTAGTACCCAAACGGAAACAAATTTTGTGTACGTTTATTGCTCACAAACAAATGGCTGTACTCGTGTACAAACATATCGGTTAGGTTAGGACAAATATGTCGACAACAAACAGCTATTAGACTAGCCAATAAGGGTTCTGGGAAAAATTCCCAATCGAAATTATTTTTTAAAGCCTTACTAATATATGTAATACAGTTTTAGTTGCGATATTCAAATGGATAGAGGCGTTTTATAGATCTATGGGTTGTATTATTCAGACAAAAAAAAAATTCTATATGTCTAATGTTACAAACAAATTTTGTTACTCATGTACATATACTTAGGTTAGGTTGGGAAAAATATGTCAGGAAAAACAGCCATTAGGCAAGCCATAAAGGATAACATTTGGCAAACAGCGGTAAAAATTCCAAATCAAAATTGTTTTTTTTCAAACATCTAATTGATATATGTACTTTCATGTACTAAAAATCCCAATCAGGCGGGCAGGAGTTTTATTCAATGGCTTAGGAAAGTTAATAATGTCGAGTTTTTATCAATAAGTTGAAACAAGTTTCAAATGAACTATTTCTAGATACAGAGGCTCCTTGAAAATCTTAAGGTGTAATAAGTAGGAAAATAATGTGTATGCGAATAATAAAAAAAACATTTATTTTTGCTAACCGTAAAAAAATACTAAGATTACGTCTTATTTTTGGTTTGAATAACAACAACAAATATTTTTTTGTTTAAACATTTTATAAAAGCTAACAAATAATACAGTATTTTTAGGAGTGTGTGTTTGTGCAGTGGATTGAATTCCTATGGCATAAACAAATGTTTTAAAAGATATTTTTTTGAAAACAATCTACTATAAAACTGTCTATTATTGAGGATAAGAATCATTGTGTAGTAGACTTTTTTTTAAAAGTTGCTGACCTTTACGAAAAATAGTAGTACAATGATGAATATGAAATATTTTATTTTATTGTGTCTAACATTTTATACTCCAACAGTTGACTCTATCACAGAAGAGGTAAATATAGTTTTTTTAAGTAAACTAAACGTTTAACATACACGGTACACCATATTTGTTAAATCTCTTTAGTATAGCTTTAAAGTAACTTATTATTTTTTAAGTTTGTCAAAAATAATAAATTTCCATGATTTTATATATCTCTGATACAAGTGTTGTTACCCTTAGAATCGTTTATAATAGTTTGTATAAGTATTTATCAGTATAATACTATAAAGTATACGTTTATAAGTAAAAAATATGCTTAATAAATTATGTTCCTCTTTATGTATTATTTTTTTTTTTTTACGAATGTTAGCAAATAAAAGATCTATGGAACAACATGAAGACTGGACAAAACAACTATATAGTCTACGAAAACTTCCTTAAATATTATGAGGATGTTTTAGAAGAAGATAGAATGGAATTTTTTGTCATAATTACAATGTTCAGAACCGATTGTACATGTAAAGGTAATCGTAAAGCAGTTTTTTTTTTAACACTATCTTCATAAATTCTATAGGTTTTTTTGAAGTTTAATTAAAACTTCAACAACGTCGCTTGTTAGCCTGATTACATTGTAAAACAAAATTACATGTTTTATTAAAAACCATATTTGTTTTTTTGGAAATGTTTCAAGTACTCAGCATGAATTTTGAAAAATTTACCGAAGCTGCAAAAGACGGCCACATACCAATAAGTCAATCATTGCTTGTAAGTTATATCTCTGATAATAATATTGTACAACGCACAACAGTTATTATTGAGTTGAAATATTCGTTAACATCAATTTTCTATTAATGAAAAATCACTAAACCATTTAAAATTCATCGATATAAATGTTAAAAACCAAGTTAGAATGACCATTAATCTTTTTTTTATTATTATTTAATATGAATACATGAAATACTGCTTAATTAAATTAGAAGCATTTGTTTATACGGTTCTAAAAACGAAAAGTTTTAAAAAAACATTTAGGCGTTTCGTTTACTATTTGACCAAATGGCCCCAGCACAGCATAAAGACTACGTTACTTGGGACAACATAAAGGCCCACTATGGAGATGAGGTATATGGAGATTTGGAAGAAAAAGGGGTACTCGCTGAAGTTGAAAAATTCGGAAAAAAATATGGTAAATGTGATTTTTAATATCTACATGTTTTATAATAGTAAAATCATGTAAATAATCGGCTAAGAAGAATGTATCACTTGTGTTACTGTACCTAAGTAAACTTGTTTAAAAATGATCTTGACATTTTCAACAGCCAATTGAACAAAAACTAATTACAAATTACAGTATTTAAAAGTATTGCTTTCACGGATTATTGAAACATTTTAATTTGCTGTTTTGGCTATGCTGAAAAAAAATGTTTTATCATAATTTTTTATTATCTATAGGTATATTTTATTAATGTTATATTGTTGATTTTCAGACGGAGAATGGAGAATGGATTTTGGTGGCTTAAAAAGAGCCGTAAACATTGGTTATCTTCAACTAATAACCTCAAACAAGATGCTACAACAAGTAGACCGCTAAAAAGAATATCAAAATTATTAAAAAGTAATAAACTTTATTACTCATAGATTAGCCGTAAGGTTAGTACAATAATATTAAACCGAAACAATTAAAATCATAATATTACTCCTTGTCACACCTCAATAGATATTGTCATTTAATAAAATAAAAATAATTTGTAATATTATATGGTTTTGTTTATATTATTATCAGACCTATGCTTGTATTCGTCAAATACTGGTTTTCGAGAAGTCCTAAGTCCACCAAATATTATGACACAGTGGAAAGAGAGAGGTCATAGATTTACAGAAATTTTCATAATAACTGAAAGTTTTATGTTAATATTAATTCATCATAAAACTGGGTCCCTCCTAAAACAGTTATCATTGTTGGGTTAACATAATTGGATTAAACCAGTGGAATACTCGCATGTTTACATTATTTATAAACGAATGAAGCAGTTAAGCCTATGAATCCTATAAACCACTGAACCGATTTATTTGTGTAGCAACTCTATGGATTAGAAATCGTACCTAAAAGATACTTTCTCGGGTTTACTGGTGTAGTGTGTATCTACACACAAATCAGTTAACAAAAATTTAGTATGACACAATTTTTTACAGGTACAGAGGCCTCTTAAAAATCTAAAGGTGTAGTAAATGAGTAGGCAAATAAGGTGTATATTGTGATTGTGTGAATTATGAAAAAATATGTACACAAGTTTCGGTTTGAAAAAAAAATAACAAATAATGTAATGCTAAACCATTTTATAAATGCCATATTTAAAAACAAATTTAGCTAAGTATTTTTTTTAGCAATGTTTATTTGTGGTACATAGTAATATTTGTTTTTATACAAAATGGTTTTAAACTTTAAATTGAGATTTAACCTAATTCAAATGAAATGATCTTCGACCAATTTAATGGCTTATTGACTATAAAAACACCAAATGCAGACTATAATTACAATTTGAGTGGGAAATTCAAAGGGATAATGCCTCTTATAGATCTAAAGCTGTGAATTGTAAAATTCACAGCTTTATGGTAACCGCAAAAAAATATTAAGATTTGTACACAATTTTCGGCTTGATAAAACAACAAATAAAATCAATGACATATTTGGCAAAGTTGTTTTTTTGTAGTATTGTTTATTTTCAATTCGTAGTATAAGAGATTTTTTTTTGGTATTATGGGTTTGATGTTAACCTAATTGAACGGCAAAAATGTGACCTTTTGTTAACAACCTAAAAAATATTGCAGAAATAGAAATAATTAAAAAACAAAAAAATGACTATGACATAGTCACTTCTAGAGTGATTTTATCATTTTGGCAAATAGCTATTAAAATGTCCAGTCAAAATTGTTTTTTAATTTTAAAGGCCCGATTGACATAATGTGTGCTTTGATACACTAAAATTCCCATTCGATTCCACTTGGGTTATATTTAATAGTTTAGCTAAGTCAATAATTTTGAGCTTTTGTTAAAAACTAGAATATTGCGATAATTGAAAAAAGTTTCAAACAAAAATTGAATACGACCCAATTTTTCATAGGTACAGGGGCCTCTTAAAAATCTAAAGGTGTAGTAAATAAGTAGAAAAAAAAGGTGTATTGTTATTGTGTGAATTATGAAAAATATGTTTTTATGCTAACCGCATGAAGAAATATCAAGGTTACTCGTGTACACAAGTTTCGGTTTGAAAAAAACAACAAAATAAAATATAACGCTTAAACAGTTTATAAAATCCATACCAAACTTGGCAAAATTGTTCATTTTAGTAGCTTTGTTTGTTTTTTGATACATAGTAATAAACAACCAAATCTATCCGTGAACAAAAGGGCCAACTTCCAGACCCTTTCTAATTAAAAAAAAACATCCTATCAATGTAGTGATATCCACATAACGGTTCACTCTGTTCTTTCCTATGTCTATAACCTCACACCCTTCCCACTTTTATGAGCAACACCACAGCTCTTTTATTTTCGTTGCTCAACACTTGGCTTTTCTGAATAAGGTATAAAATAAAGTATTTACATTGAAAAACTAAACTTTTCACATTCTATTGAAGAATGAGAAACTAAGGGATGGAAATGGGGTCGATGGAATTATTTAATAACCGTTTGGAGCGTTGAAGGAGATGTGACAAAAGAAGGTTCACTTAGTAATGAAAAAACTATATCACGAGGAAACGTTAAACATTTGTTTTAACAAAAACGTAATCTATTGAATATATAGCGAAACAATATCATGTTCAACAAATAATAGAGCATGTTTTAGAGGTGTCTGTGTTTGCGCAGTCACTGTACAGTGGGTACCTACGCTATTAACAAATGTTTAAAAAAAAACATATTATTTTAAAACAATCTACTATAAAACTGCCTATTATTGAGCATAAGAATCATTGTGCAGTAGATTTCATTTAAAGTTAGTAATACAAAAATAAATATTAACACAACGATGAATATAAAGTATATTGTTTTATTGTGTCTAACATTTTATACTTCAACAGTTAACTCCATCGAGGAAGTGGTAAATATAGATTTTTGATCAATCACTTATACATATTTATTATAAATCATTTTTACTATATCGCGTTAAGTAAGCCCGTTTGACCTAAATAGTTTTCCACGTTAGTAAAATCTCCAAGTATATTGATATCTTAAACTAATTTTTTTTTAAGTTTGTTGAATATAAAAAATAGCATACAGGGTGCCCTACAATTCACGAAGATTTGACTAATGAAATGACTATTGTTCTAGTGAATACTTTTAAGATTTTTAAAAATTAATTTACATTTTATATCTTATAAATATTTACTAGAATATATTATTAGTTGTACAAATATAAATAAATAATATATAATAAAAAGTTATTTTATTTGTCAAGTCATTTTAAGCACCTTCAAAAAAAAAAGATACAGAAGTAGGATATTCAAAACTATTGACTGAACGATAAACAAGTTAGTAAGAACTCTAGTAGCATGTTTGACGCCCTATACCAGTCAAACAACCTATTCTTAATAAAATACAATAATAAAACTTCCTTTTTTTAAATGTTTAACTGTTCTTTTTGATAATATTAAACAATTTTATTATTAGTCTACCAAAATAATAATTATCAAATCCTCGTTAGGCTCGTATTACATTTTCATGATTTTATATACCTCTGATACAAGTGTTACCCTTAGAACCGTTTGTATAGGTGTTTAAAAGTAATAATATTAAGTATATATTTAAATATGCTCATCTTTCTAGTTTAAAAAAAAAACTATGATTATCTTATTGTTATTTTGTTTTACCAATGTTAGGAAATTAAAGATCTATGGAACCAAATAAGAACTCCCGGAAACATGTATATAGTCTACGAAAACTTCCTTATACATTATAAGCGTCTTGAAGACCCAGAAAAAGCTCAATTTCTTGCCATTACAAACGAATTCGGAATCCAATGTAAAGAATGTGAAGGTAATTGATACATTTGATTAAATGTCATGTTTTTTTTTTTTGTTATAATGGGAATTTTTTTAGTGACCAGCATGAATTATGGCCAATTTAAGGAGGCCGCTTTAGAGGGCCTCATACCAATATGTCAAATATATGTAAGTTATATGTTATTTCTTAAAATAAATTTGTGTCCACGCAATAGTTTTTTTTTTAAAATTTAAAATTGGATTAAACTGCTAGAATATTTTATTCTTCAATTAGTCCACCTATAGGTGTTATACATTATAACCACATACACTTGATTGCACATTATAGTCCATAATCTCAATGCTCTCCTACCTTCATCAACAACAATGCTCTTATACTTTTATTGCTTAACACTTGGCCAGTTTCTGTGAATGAAAAAATATGACCTTTATTACTTAGTTTATAAAAAATGTTTAGATGATGCGTGATCTGTTTAACGAAATTGCCAAACAGAAACCCTACATCACTTATTGCGACTTATTGGACTTCTATGGATTTCCTAAATTTAGTGAATGGATTATTAACGAGATACTCTTCGAAGTGGCCAGATTCGGAGAGTCGGGTAAATGTGATTTTTAATAACTACATTTTGTAATAGTAAAACTACCACAATAACGCATCTCTTGTTTTCTAGAGGCATATTTGAATTTATCTTTCGATGGCTATAAGAAAGTCGTGAACATTGGTTATCTTGTGGGTCCTGATGCAAAAGCGATTGAAAAGGCTGAAGCTGCTGCCAAAGAGGAGCTACAACCTGATGATAAACAAAACAAAATAGAAATTTTAGTCGTAAAGTAGTTAGAATATAGTAGTTAAATAAAATAATATTAAACGAAATCATTTTAATTATAATAATACTCCTTCATAATACTTCATAAGACCTTGTCATTTGAATTCAATAAACATAAAAAAAAAATAGTAGTCGGCATTATATTAAGCTGGCAGAAGTAAAATAATATTATTGTACTTTTTTTATTACTTATTTTGAATTCGCATACTAAAAAAGCCAGGACGATGGGGGTTTTTTGGGCATAGTGGGGACGGCGAGGTCACAGGTATACAGGAATTATCATAACTGAAAGTTATATGTAGGTATTTATTTATTTCTGATAATAAAACAGTTATCGTTGGGTTAAATTTGTATTAAACGAGTGGAATATTCGCTTACTTAAATTATTTATGAACTGAAAACCAATGAAACAGTTAAGCCTATGAATCCTAAATTTTGCTTAAAAATTTACAAACAAATTTTGTTACACGTCTACCAACATATTGACTAGGTTAGGAAATATATGTCGAAAAAAAAACCAGCTATTAATCCAGCCAAAATGGGTAACAATCAAAATTGTTTTTTTCAAAAGACTTATTGATATATATGTAAAGAATACAACACTTTTCATAGGTATAGAGGTCTCTTAGGAATTTAAAGGTGTAGTAAATAAGTAGAACTATAATGTGCACGTATGTTGTGAGAATTATAAAAAAACATATTTTCAAGCTTAACTCGAAAAATTATTAAGTTTACTCATGGACGAATATTTCTGTTTAAAAAAAACAACAGATATTATACTCCATAAACATTTTATAAAAGCCATACATTATTTTGATATATTATTTTTTTTGTAGCGTTGTTTATTTTTTGATACATTTGTTTGTTTTGTAAAAAATAGATTTTATTTTAAATTGAGATTTAACCTAATTTAAACGGAGTAATTGTCGACTAATTTAATAGTTTAAATAACAACGCTAAACGGAAAATAGTTATAAAATTTGAGTTGGAAAATTCAAAGGGATGAGGCAACTCCTAGATCTGAAGCTATAGTATACAAACAATAGCAGAAAAAAATTGTGTACGTTTATTGTTTACAAACTAATTTTAAAATATGTTTTCTGCTAACGCAAAATATCATTAAGAGATTTTCGGTTGGAAAAAAACAACAGATCTTATATTGCTTAGACATTGTATAAATGCTATAACAGATTTGGCAAAGTTGTTTATTTTTGATACATAGTAACCGGCCATTTTTTTTTTTACTAAAAATGGATTTGTTTAAGTAAATAGGTAGAAAAATAATGTGCATGTATATTAAAAAAAATCATAAGGTTACTCGCGTACAGAATTTTCGGTTTGAAAAAAAAAACAAATATTAAAATGCTTAAACATTTTATAAAAGCCATAAAAAATTTGGCAAAGTAGTTTTTTTATCGAATTGTTTAGTTTTGTAGTAATAAACTATTGTTGATTTTTTTTTTTTAAACTACAACATAACAATATTTTTCAGAAAGCTATAGCGTTTCTTAAAAAGGAAGGTGTTAACAATATATTTAGTTTAGTTTCCATTGTTTATGAATATAAAAAAGTAGCAATCATCTGAAAATACAAGTTTTTACAATTGTTTAGACACCAAGGCAATATATTAGGCTTGTAGAGGTCAAATATAATTATTATACTTCTTTATCACTTATTTTGAATCCATATGATAAAAAAAATTATTATAGTTTTTTTACATTTGCAAGACTCTATGTACATAACATATCGTCTCTTTGCTTCTGTAAGTAATCTATAACATATATCACACTGGGTTTAATGTCTGAAAATTAGGCAAAAGGTATGTTCAGAATGGCCCTATAGCAAAACTAACTTTCTCGAAAATCTTTGGTTAAGCTTTTTTTTTTATTTATTAAGAAAAACCCTCAGTTTTTATCAAAAGACTTATGATTTATGTATACACAATTTTTCTTAGGTACATAGGCCTCATAGAAATCTAAAGGTGTAGTAAACACGTAGAAAAATAATGTGCACACGATTTGTGCGAATTATAATAACAAAAATTGAATACGACCCATTTTTCCATAGGCACAGAGGCCTTATAGAAATCTAAAGGTGTAGTAAACTTGTAGAAAAATAGTGTGCACACGATTTGTGCGGATTATAATAAAACATGATTTTATGAACGCAAAAAAAAAATATCTAGGTTACTCATGCACAAATATTTCGGTTTGAAAAAACAACAAATATTATATTGCTTAGATATATTATAAATGCTATAACAGATTTGGCATTGTTGTTTTTTTGTAGCGTTATTTACTTTTGATAAATTTTGTTTGATTGTAGTAAATGGATTTTATTTCAAATTGAGATGTAACCTAATTCAAACAAATTTAATGTTTTTTTTTACATAACTTCATAGCATTGCAACTTGGGTTTGAAAAATTCAAAGGGATAAGACCTAAAGGGATAAAACTGTAGTAGACAAAAAGAAAAATATTGTGTACGTTTATTGTTCACAAGCCGAGTATTTACTAAAAGTTTCCATCGGTCGGACTGGCTATCGTAATGTCATTGTAATTTTTTTAAGTTTAGGATGAGGCGATTTTAGAATCCGTTACAGCAACCTATATATTAATTTAGATTTGCATGTTCAGCTATTTTTTTTCAAACATTGGTAGTATAATAGAATTGAATTGAACTTTAAAGTTTATAACATCATACAAAAGAGCCGTAGATTTTTAAATTTCCTTTGAAAAAATGTAATTTCTACAACAAGAGCAATGCATTTTAATGACTATTTTTATTTAAGAGGTTTGTACGTTTTGTATATATAGGGTGCAATGTAAAGTTTTACCGAGCTTCAAATGAGACGTTAGGGATGCTCTATGGGCACAATAAATGGTATTCAATTCTTTTTAATTTTAAAATTGTTTAAAATTGAACTCGTATCTCATTAAAAAATTGTCTTACGAAAAAAATAATTTCAGATTTGAAATTAAGAGAAAAAATCTTGTAACATGATTTTTTGGTATCTGGCCACACTTGCGTCCACCGAGTGGCCACTGAGTGGCCGGCATGTTACCAAAACCAACATATGGCATGTGACACATCATTTTGGGTTAGAATTTTATTCTCAATCCAGTGCCGTATTTAAATTCAGAAGGAAAACCCCGACGATGTACGTCTTATAATATTTTTTTTTTAAATTTCATCAAAATGTTAAGACTGTATTCAATCTTAACACACAGTAGTAATGATAATAATCACTTCATGCAAAACTAGAACAGTACTTTAGTATTTAGTTCAGTAGCACATAGAAAAACAAATGCCTTGCGTTAGATTGATACAAAATACAGTATTGCTATTTACTCTGCACCGACGAAAACAGCCACAATAACAAGTCATCGTGTATAAGTAAAAAATACCTTTTTTTTTATAGGTACACATGTGTTACACTCGCAAGGGACATGATAAAAAATAAACAAGAAAACAAGTTGCCTATGGTTTGCAATAAGTCAAATATATATATATATATATATTAGGAATAGCGTTTTTGTCGGAAAGTAAATAAGATTTCATTAAATTTTGATGTTCTGCTGGACGTATCCGTAACTAAAACAACAGGGTGTTTATAAAAAAATGCTGGCCATATTAAAACTTGCAGAGAGAGACTTCGTTCTTATCTAAATATGAGAAAATCAAGTTTTTGTACATTGAGCGGTTTTGTTTCCAATGTTTACTGATTTCAAAGTCCCTACATAATATATTCATTTTGACCTTGACGTTGGATTGCAATTCAAACTTTGTAACACTAAAAAAAAATTCCAAACAAACGTTTAGAAAATTGTTGTTGTAAAAGTTTTCCATTGAATCAATAACACAGTCTTATCCAGTTAGAAATAAATAGTCCATTTTTCGGTAGAATTTGTTTGTGTTTGCGCAGTGAACTGTGGTGTGAATTTTTCGACATGTGTAAATATTGAAAAAAAGGTTTGACCTAAAACTTTTTACTATAAAACGGCCTATTACATTTTATGTAGTAGATTTTATACAAAGTCGGTAGTCTTATTGGTAGCGACAATATATTATGTTCAATAATGATTATAAAGTATTTTGTTGTAATGTGTCTAACTTTTATGAAATGTAGTTAAACATCACATTTGCCTGATGAATCTACATATTCTATAATTTTAATGATTTTTCCTGTATTATACATTTTTTCATAAATTGCATTTTCAAAGTCTCTCTTTATGTCGCTCAAAAAATCGTAGCGTGCCTATTGTTTATACTCCAACAGTTAACTCTATCACAGAAGAGGTAAATATAGTTGTTTCCAACAATCACTTAAACATATTTTATAAATTACTTGTATTACATTGCGTACAGTAAACTAAACGTTTAACATGTATGGTATTCCACTATCGTTAAATCACCTAAGTATATTAATACCTTAAAGGTACTAATTACTTTGTCAAAAAATAAAAAAAATGTTGTTTTTCATACTTTAAATTTCACTAAAACGGAAATATTTCTACATTTTTTTTAACCTTTTAATTATTATTTACCAGTCAAAATATTTAAAAAAATCTATTAATTGTAATGCTTGATTTTTTTTTTAAATAACTACATAATACTGTTATCTGTTTGTGGGAAGGTTAATAATGGTTGCACCTATATTTTTATATTAAAAAATTATAATATTAATCTACCAAATTATTCCTAAGATATATTACAAACTTCAAATCTTTGTTAGTCTCATAAAACATTTTCATAATTTTTTAAATAATGATATTATATGTCTCTGATATAAGTGTTACCATTAGAGTTGTTTGTATGTTTATACCTTAAGATAACTAATTACTGAAAAATATTGTCAAACATAAAAAAATTGTATATACAAAAGTAGGGTATGCCAATCTTTTGACTTATCGATAACGAATTTTTAAATAAGTACTTTAAGTGTTATAAGCGACAGGAAAATAATAAAAAATATTCCTCTTTGCACCAACCTCCTTGTTCTTTTTCATTTAAAAGTCATTAAAACAGAAATACTTCTAAATTTTTTTTTAAAACCTTTAAATCACTATTTACTAGTCT